AGACCCCTCAGAAGGAACTGACCCTTCCCACACCTTGATTTTGGACTTCTAGCCTCCAGAAGGGAGACAAAAAATTTCTGTTGTTTAAACTACCACATTTGTAGTCCCTTGTTACGGCAACCCCAGGAAACTACCGCAGCCTTTGTGAGGAGCTGCGCGAATGTGCGAGATCCAGACAGGGGTCCTGGGAGGCTCACAGTGATGGAGTCACAGGGGCTCAAATCCCAGATCCTCCACTTGGGCAGGAATGAAGTTACGGATGGGGACTTCTGAGCCTTTCTCAGCCAGTCTCCTCCTCCGCAACATGGATCAAGTATCTACCTCACAGGGCCTTTGAAAGGACTAAATAAAACACGTGTAAAGTGCTGCGAACAGCTCTCAGCTGTGGTGGGCACAATAATGGCTCCCAAAAATGTCCTCATCCTAATGCCTGGAACCTGTGAATATGTTACCTTATATGGCAAAAGGGATTTGGCAGCTGTGATTAAGGATCTTGAGGTGAGACTAACCTGCATTATCCACGTGGGCCCAGTGTAATCCCAAGGATCACTATAAGAGAGAGGAAGGCGCGTCAGAGAAGGTGAGGAGACAACAGAAGCAGAAGTTGGAGTGATGTGTGACCAAGGAATGTGGGCAGCCTCTAGAAGCTGAACAAGGCAAGAAAACCCCAGAGCTCCCAGAAGGAACAAAGCCTTGCCAACCCATTTTGGCCTTCTGATCTCCAATAACGTAAGAGAATAAATTTGAGTTTTCAGCTGCAAAGTTTGTGGAAATTTGTTACAGTAGCCATAGGAAACTAATGCCTTAGCTTATAAGGTGGTCAACAAATGCTAGCTCCCTTCTTTCCACCAACTTCTCCAGGAGTTCACAAGGTCGTAAAGCTGGTGAAAAGAAAAAGACAATGCAATGCAAACGATGTCAACAGGAAGTGCAAGACAAGGCAAGCTGTGGGTTTAGAGAAAGGAGAATAAAGGGAGGCTCTGTGGGCTCACAGCTCAATGGCAGGAGTAACACCTGAGCTAGATCTCAGAACACACGAATACACGAGCTGTGACCTGAACACAAGGAGCCCTAACACGCCACTCCATCTGTCCACACTATGTATACTGGACCCTGCCTCTTCTCTCTGGCCTCTGATCTTCTTAGCCTGCTCTACCTTTTTTCTCCCAGAATTTATCATTTCCAATATACTTATTTGCATAGACATGATGTTTCATTTACAGGTTAGATCTCCCCTCTGCCCCTCACCCCCACATGAGCTCCCTAAGGGCAGTGATCTTTCTTTTGTTGACTGTTGTACCCCAAGCACCTCCAACAGTGCATGGCATACAGGAGGTGCTCAGTAAGTGTCTGATGGATGAATGAATGTTCAGACCCCCCTTCAGGACTTGGACCTCATTGAAGGACGTGCATCTTCAGAGGGAGGATGCTGAAGGACAGGGCAGAAAATGATTTCACTGGGCTGGCTCCAGGTGTCGTTTAACAAATGGAGGAAGAAGATTTCTTAGTTTTATTCTTTTATTTTTTGTTTAAGGTATGCTTTTTGGTGAGAAAGATTGGCCCTGAGCTAACATCTGTTGCCAATCCGCCTCTTTTTTTTTCCTCCCCAAAGCCCTAGTACATAGTTGTGTATCCCAGTTGTAAGTCAGTCTAGTTCTTCTGTGTGGGATGAACCGGCAAACCCTGGGCCACCAAAATGGAGGCGAGAACTTAACCACTTGGCCACTGGCCAGCCGCCAGTAGTATTCTTCTTACTCTACTCTCCCCATCTGACATCCCCTTCCTGTGCCCCCAATTCCCCAGTGTTTTCTGTGTCAGTTAATAGCAGTATTTCTATAGTCAGGCCTCAAACCTGGAGAATGGCCCTGGACTTCTCCCTTCACCTGTGCAAAGCCTGATTCTTACCCTAGTTCTCTCGATTCCGGTTTCACTGGCTCTAGCCCAGAGCACTATCAGCCTTCTTGCAGACCGCTGGAGCAGGCCCTCGCGTGGTTTCCCTGCAGCCAGGGTGGTATTTCAGATGCTCTGGAGAGCCACGTGTTCTCTTACCTTCCCTGACCGCACCCCCCCCGCCACGAGCCGTCAGGACCCTCTATTTGTTCACTGTACACTCGGCTCGCTTGTAATTACGTGCTCCCGTTCTGCCCGCCCCACCGGACATATTATGAGGCTTGAGGGCAGGGCCGTGTACCCAGCGCCTGGCACAGTGCTTGGCACAAAGCCGACGCTCCAAACTTATTTGTTGATCATCCCGTTTCTTGTTTCTCTGATTTTCCGCACGGTGTATCCCGCAGAAATGAGGAGAGGGGGAGGCGACGCAGCAGCTTTCCCTGTGGGGCAGAGCCCCCTGGACACGGGGCGCACTCACCTTGGCCGAGACCCCCCTCCAGCTGCAGAAAGCCTCGTAGGCGGCGCGCACCGCGGCGCGGGCCTCGGACGCCCCGCAGTCGGCCACCATGCCCAGGCTGGCGCCGCTGGCCGGGTCGTGCACGGGGAAGGTGGCGGAGGCCGGGAGCCAGCGGCCGCCCACGAAGCCATCTGTGCGCAGCAGCGCCGCGGGAAGGCCCGCCGGGGCCCCGGCGTAGCCGCGGAGCGAGGCCCGGCCGGGCGCGGGCCGCGCGACGGGCACCGGGCAGAGGCCGCGGCCCGGAGACGCGGGCGGGAGGCGCGGAGCCTGACAGCGCCGCAGCCGCAGGCAGGTCGCCATGGCCGGGGAGGCAGCGACGGAAGCAAGAAGCAGGCAAGAGAGCGCCCTCCTCCGAGGACAGGGGTCGCTCGCGGGCAGCGAGAGGAGCGAGGCGGCGGCGGATGCTGGCCGAAAGCTGCAGAGACGCGAGCAGCGCCCTCTCCCCGCGACCTTTGCGCTGCACCGCTGCGCCGACGGGACGTGCCCCCAGCGCGGGGAGGGTTGGGGCCGGGGATGGGAAGGCTCGCCTGGAGTTGCACCTGCGGGCTGCCGTCGCCTTACCCCCTCTCGGGTGCTCATTTGTCTGCAACTATTCCATACTCCGCCAACCGCTGCAGGAGAACTGCTCCCTTCCCCACATCATTCCCCTAAACGGGCATCCCCCGCCGCTGGGATTTGCGCTTGGTCTATGAATGGGCTGGTGGCTGCCCCGATGCTAAGGGCATGATCACATTTCTTCATCGCCGCGGCTTCTGCGCACTTAGGGTTTGGGGTGAGGGTTCTCTGAGGGGCTGAAGTGTAGCTCAGCGTTCTTCCTCGATGCTTTTCTGGGTGTGGGTCTAGGTGTTCTCTTCCTTCTTTGGGAGCACGGGTGCCCCTGATCTGTAACGGCGCCTTTGGAGACAAAAAGGCTTGGTTCTAAACTCAGAGTCTGTCGTTCACAAGCTGTATGACCTTCTACAAATTACTAAACCTGAGTCCTCTTGTTTAAAAATGGAACAATACCTACCCCATCGGTTTGTTGAGATAAGCATAACGCTCAGGACAGTTGCTGCATTAAATTCAGTACGACGTTCAAAGTCATGCTAGCTGGCCTAGTTCAAGCCACTAGTAAGATTAAAGTTAGGCCGCCAACTAGTCAAGGAGACCATTTGTCAGAGTCGAATCGACCAAAGTATAATCGTAATTAGTCTTGGGCCTAAAACTCCGGAAGCAGCAAAGAAGCTTCGACTTTAATGAGGATAAAAATAAAAATAGCAGCCCCGTACTCGGAATTTGTGGGTTCAAATGAAGCCCACGTCTATGCCCTGATTTAGGATGACTAGTTTCAACATATCTCCCCTTCTCCATTCCTACTGAGTTGAGAGTCTCTTGCTGGCTTTTCCCGGAGACTGTGGGCTCTTCACCTTTTTCTAGGGCATTGGACTTTCATTTGCAAAATGCCGAGGCACTGCTTTAGATTTTGATTTTGTTTTTGGCTGAGTCTGCGTGACCCAGCCTTGAGTCCGTCAGATCTGACAGAAGTGGGAACAGTGGAGTTTAGCCTTTTGGATTAGAAGGAGTGAATTCACTCCGTTCTGTATCCTACTGAAGGAATTGGGAGGAGAGGGAAGTCCTGATAGGGTGGTGTCTGCCAGTGGGTATCACACTCGCGACTGGGGAGCTGGCGTATTTCCACCTGCTGCCTGTAGAGGGAGCTTTACTGAAAGTTGATTTCTACCGGCTTGGTGGAAATAGTTCTGTCGAGAAAACCGAGGCCCAGAAGAGTGAAGTCGACTGTGGCTGCCTCTCTTGATCCAAAATTAATCTGCTTATCTTTTTAAAGTCCTGTTTCAAACGGTGCCCACTCCCCTTCCCAGCTGACTTCTCCATTGGACACAGTAGATACAAGGGGCCCACAGTACTTTTAGGGGCACACAAAAATGTTTAGCTTATAAAATCAGAAGAAAAAAGTGAACTTTTAGCTTGAATATAAGTATATTAATATTTATACCAATGCAGATGTAATGATTTTATTTTTATGAAGGAAGGGGCCCATAAAGGCAAAAATGCCTCCAGCCTAGGAAATTCATGATGTCGCCCGCCCCGTCTCTTCCCTCTCTTGTGCCCTCTGTAAGGCCCCATTCAGAGTGGGAACAATTCCTTCCTGGCTCCTGTCTTCTAGGCTGCCCTGGTTCCCCCCAGAGCCTGGCTGGGTGTGCTTACCAGGGACTTGGAGGACAAGACCACTAGGTGACAGGAACCATTTCTCCCTTTCTCCTTAGCCTGCCCTTGTCCTGGGCACCAGCACCTCCTGATTCTCACCTTTCTCCATCCTCTCCCCCATTTTCTCCAAGGGCACTATGATGATAGCCACATATTAGACTTTTATAAAAGTGAGCTGAAATTCTGCTTTATCTCAATTGTATTACAATTGTATCTTGGGTCTGCCCCTGGTGGCCTATGGGTCAAGTTCAGCATGCTGTGCTTTGGGGTCTGGGTTCAGTTCCTGGTGTGAACCTACACCACCCATCTGTCAGTAGCCATGCTGTGGCAGTGGCTCACATACAAAAAAAAAGAGGAAGATTGGCATCGGATGTTAGCTCAGGGCAAATCTTCCTCAGCAAAAATAAATAAATCAATAAACAAAAATTGCATCTCATTTATGCACCTAAGAAGACCCACTTTCACTTCAAAAACTCAACCCAATTTTGCTTTATACACATATCTAAATTGTTATAAAAGATCTATTACTGAATACCCGAGTATAAAAATATTTTTAAATCTTTTAAAATTCAGTAATGAAAATAGTTAATAGAAATCTAAGGTGACTCTTTTGGAAAGGGAAAATTTCTCTTGAATGATAATAATCAACATGCATTGAACACTTACTGTACACCAGTCTCTTTTCTAAGCACTTTACATGTATTTATTCCTCTGATCTTAAAAACAGCCCTATAAGGTGGCCACTATTATTATCCCTATTTTTATGGATAATTTTATAGGTAAAGAAACTGAAGCAAAGAAATTTTTAGTGACTTGCCCAAGGTCACCCAGGTAGACTGTAGCAGAACAGGGATCCAAACGAACCCTGAGGCCCCACAGCCCTCAAGTATGAGCCCTGTCCTTTTAATGTAGCTGCATATTTTCTTCTCAACTTGTGTGTTTATTTCCAGAAAAGCTCTAAGTGGTAGAATCATGCTGTCTCATTTATAACAAAGCCACCCATATTAGGAAAGGGAGGTGGGGTGGAAAGAAAAATAATTCTATACGCTTATTATTTGTAAAGTAGTTTTCTTAATATTGCGAGCTATATTTTCATTTTCTTTTAAAAGTCTTTGATGTTTTCACAGTTATAAAAATACTACAAACTTCATAAAAATTCAGGCAGTATTGTCACATAAAGCCCATATTCATAACATCACACTATCCTCCTTAAGCAAATAATTCCCTATTATTCTGTTTTATTATATGCATAAAATTAAGTCATTCTGAACCTAAAACACAAAAAAATACATAATGAGAAATTTGGGATTAGTATTGCTTAGTTGCTGAACCCATTTCCTTCCTTGGTGCTTTTTGGATGGGTTCGTTTAAGTCTGGTTGGATATCGTTTCTAGGCAGCATTGATTTTCCCTGTTGACTCTGCAACCCTCTTACTGTTACCATTGAGTGACTACTCCTGCACGTTCTGTGCTTACAAAAGCCCGAAGCTATAACTGCCACCACCCCACCTGCAGGCTTTGGAAGGCCCACAGTGAGGGGGAGGCAAACTGCACGGCCTCTGGGGGCCAGAAGGGGCGTGGCAATCTGAACACACTGTGTGGATGGTGGGGCCTGGAGGACACGGGGAGGCATGCTCTGTCTAGGGGGCAGCTGGCTCCTCGGCGCCAGCTGGTTGTCATATCACATGGGAATGTCAGTTCAGGAGGTTCACCTTGTTTGTTTTTTTAAAGAGAGCTAGATATCTAGATTTCTGTGAGGATTTTCCCATTCAAAAGAAGTTGGCCTAAGTTTATAAAACACTCTGTTAGCCGAACAAAACACATGAGTTTGTGGCCTCTGGCCTAAAAGCAGTCAGGAGCAGCTGGGCCTGCCGCCCTCTGGAGAGGGAGAGCTGGGGGTTCCTTTCCTTGGGGCTTTGCAGGTGGCTGAGTTAAGGTTACAGGTGACACTTGGCAGATACCTAAGGGTCTCAAATCATTCCATCTTCTCCTATTCTTCTCTTCCATTGGGCTAACCTGAGAATAAATACCATTTCCTCCCACTCTTTTAGGATCTCCTTTCTTGCTTTCAATCTGGAAGATGCGTGATTCGAGCTTTAAGATCACCATCATTTCCATGAAGAGCTGAACTTAATTTTTCCCATGGATTAAGCGCTATCAATTAGATACTTCATAAGACGTATATTCTGATTTTCTGAGTCCTTGTTTCTTGGTTTGAAATCCTCCCCACCATCCCCACCAGCCAGATGGAATCAGCATCTTTGCTTGGGCTGCAGGAATCCGATCAGGCAACAGGCTCTGGATAAACTCTACACGAACAGCCAGGGTAGAGAGACCAGAAGTGGCTGCTCTTGTGTAATCTCACACAAGTGTCAGTATCTGTTGCCAAATACTGAAAGGGAAGCTGGTTGCAGCTGATCGTCATAAAAGCACTTGCAGCTTTGGAGGCCAAGGAAGCAAGGCCACCTGATAAATGCGTGTGTGGAAAGGATGCACGAGCCATCAGCCCTTGTAAGGTGAGGCCGTCTAGTATATTGACTATTAATATTAGACAGGTGGGTCTTTTTGTAAGAAAGCAAAGATTTGGAGACACCTTTGCTTGTGTCTTCATGCAAATTTCATGTTGAAAAGAAATCCAGAGGAAATCTCGGTCTGAAGATGGCAATGCTTCCACCTAGAGGCCTTTAGATTTCAATTTATCGCTTTTTTCTCTCCCAGGTGGAGTTTGTTTACTGTTCTGGTGAAGTTAAACAGTAGTTAAACAGTTGACTTTACTGGAAAATGATATTATTTTGAAGTGAGGCTTCACTTGCCGAGTCAGTGACCTGCTTGGAGGGAAAGCAGTGGGTCTGAGCCTGGCTCTTGCTCTCGGGGCGGCAGCAGCTCTGGCGTTTGCCGTCACCGTAGGAGCAGTGAGTAATGACAGCCATGTCTGCTTTCAGGTTCTGGTCGGCCCTGCTGATTGCACTGGGCTCTCTCTGCCCTAGAGGTTCAGCATGTGGCGTTTCAACACACATAGAAATAGGTAAGTGCTGGCAGCTTGTTGTGGTGATAAGGACACTAAAATCTGTCAAAAGACATTATTAGGTGTATTGCTAATGAGTTCCCCCACTGCACTGAGCAGTGGGGCAGCGGAGAGGAGAAAGGCACGACTGGAGTTGTCCAGGGTTGGGGATGGTGGGGGTGGGTTCAGTGGAGGGGTGGGAAGCTGGAGAACTGACACATCTTTGATCCTAGGGTCCCCTGCTGTTTCTCTGGCTGGGGAAATCGGAGCTGGACAAACTAGAGGTTACCACTGAAGCAGAAGAACTGACACAATGGGGGAGGAGAAAGATGGGTGGTCTATGATAGGAGTGAGGAATTTCTTTTCGTTGTTTCACATTCCCAAGTTTATCTAAAGAGCCATGTGTAGCCACAGGAGTGGGTCCCCTGAGTCAAGTGGCTTTAAAGGTAGTTGACTTCAGGGAGGACAAGGAAGTAAGGGCGTTTGAGTGGTCACTGGCATTAGAGGTGCCCAGAATGAAGACAGGAGTCGGGGAGGCCTGCACAGTGCTGCCCACAGGTTCAGGGGCAAAGGCAGAGTTATCTGGATCCAGGTGAACGGTAGCACAAAGATTTGGTTCTTATGTGAAGTGTATTTGTAATATCTTTTAGCTTGTGGAAATTGTGAGTCAACTTGTAATATAATTAGATATGATTATATCCTACAGCAATTTTCAGATTAGTTTCAGACCTACCTCATGTCTGGGTTTTCTTTAGTTTAGACAAAAACAATAACAATATAACTATGCCATCTCTAGAAGGTGCAAAACAGACAAGATTACAAAGAAAATATGAAAATGTATTCATGCAAAATAGACCTAGATATTGAGTTCTGGTGGGCAAGAACCTTATCAGAATTTTACCATTTGGAGGTGCAGTAGAGGTCACAGAGTCCCGTCCCTTTATTTTACATATGAGGAAATTGATCTTAGAGAGTTTCACAGCTAACTTATCAGTGGCCTGGCCTAGTTATGTGTCCTGACAGCTAGCTAGTCCAGTGTTCTTTCCAAAAAACATTTATTGCTAAAAGGGAGTCAGGAAACAGTGGAAAAGAGAATCTTAGGTTCTAACACCAGCTCTGCCAAAAATAGATCTGTGACTCTGAGCGATTCACTTCCTCTCTCAATTCCTCTTCTGTAAAATGAGGGGGTTGAACTTTTTGATGAATTCTAAAGTACCTTCCAACTCTAAGTTGTATGAAATTGAAAATGTTAATGTAAGTTGGCTGAAGAACAAACAAATGGAAATATTCAAGTTTTTAATCCTTAGAGTTTAAACGTTTACAAGACAGATGAAATCTGAAATTTTAATAAAACTAGATAACTGCTTTCCTTCAGTGGGTGCCAAAGGTCCTAATAGGTTAATACATATTAAACATATATCTTTAATATAGCATTAATATATATTATATAACGTGTATGTGAACATAATTGAAGGTAACTCCTAATCTGCACAGATTTTTAGGATTTTTATTAAAAAACCCTACAATTCCAACATTTATTTACTAATAATTTAGATGATTTTATAAATATCTTAGTTCACATTTTCACTTCTTATAGAGGGCCTATATATATGTGAGTTACATAAATGTGAGTTAGTTAATTAGAATTGGCCTCATTCAGTGATTTGGGTTTATAAATTACTGGAATCCCACATGCAGGTTATTTGAGTGGGCTGTGAACTTGTCAAATCAGGTATTAATGCTTATAGTAGTAGCTGTATTTTTTTGTTGTTGTATGAATTAAAAAATTGGATGTGATTTACACTAGAAATAAGGTATCACCTTTGAATATGTCTCCATAAAGAATGCTTTTCTGGTGATTCTAAGATGATTCAGGATGTGGGTATGTCTGTGTGTGTGTATGTGGGCGTGTGGGTGGAGCAGGTGGCCTTCTGAGGTTTTGTTTGTCTTTCTAACGTGGTCCAATAATGAAAACACTTTTTAGGCTCATTGATTCAGTCCATAGTTTAGGCCCTGTATTGTATTTCCTGCTTAGGTTTTTCCTAGAATCTCCCTCAATGGATTATTGAGGCAAAACATGATGGTGATAACTTCTGTTTATTAATCTCCTAGCATGTGTCAGCCATTGTGCTTGTCACTTATCATTTACTTTCTGTGATTTTATCAACACTTCCGTAAGGTGGGTATTATTTACTCAGTTTTCCATAGAAGGGAACCGAGGCTCTAGAGAGGTTAAGTAACTTACCCTAGGTCATAGAGCTAGTTAAGCAGAAACTTTAAATCACTATGCAAATTGGATTGGTATTATAATATAAATATTGCATGATTCTAATCATGCAAATGGAGATTACAAGTGAGTGCACTTAATTTTCATGTCCCACTTCCTTGACAGTTACAACCACACCATTATATATTTTCCTTTTAAAATGATCTCTGGTAAGTTCTGTTTTCAGTTATAGTTGGACTTAATTGCTTTATGTATTTATTTCTCTCAGGACACAGAGCTCTGGAATTTCTCCACCTTCAAGATGGGAGTGTTAACTACAAAGAGGTATAAAATCTATTTTTTTTCTTTTATTCCTTGTGCATTAACTTTCTTCTGTAGCTGGCAAATAAAGGTCCTGATAGATACTTAAATGTGAATTTTGAGTCATTTTTATGTGTTCATAAAACATTAATATTTTGGGTTTAAAGATTAATGTCCCCTCCAGTGCTCCTTGAACATCTTATATGCATAATTTAAACAATTGAAATATTGTAATGATATGAATCATAAGTTGAAAAAGTATTGGAAAGAATTTTTTTAAGTGGTACATCTTTTTCGTTTTTTTAAAGAGAGGTCATCCCTGAGATAAAAGATTTATTTTTCACTTCTTGTCTCTGTGTGTTGTATACAAATTGCACCATCACAAGAAGGAAGTATTTATTCAGAAGCATGCTTTGAGATGCTCCTTCCAACTTCTCCTGCTGTCTTGGTCGGACTCTTTGATGGCTTACCTTTACCCATCCTCAAAGTAATTGAACCCATTCTGGCCCGATACACCAGTTCTATAGTTAAATGATACTTTGTGATCACAATACTTATTAAGTATTTATATTTGATAAGAATAGTTAACATTCCTTCATGACATCGCAATTGGATCAAATTATTATTAGATAACCCAAATTATTAATTTTGATTTAATTAATTTGTATTACTAGATAATACAAATTATTACTTGATAATCCAGTATGGAAAGCAAGATGGTAAAATAACTGAAATCTATTATATCCCCAAACCACTTTTAGTCATTAGTTTCAACTTCCTGACTCGCCAATTTAACAAGCCCTCTGGGAACAAACATCATTTATGTTTGATTGTCATCTTCACTGACCCTGATAGAATGTAGGCAGGAAAGAGGAAGGGAAGTGAGAATCTGCCTAATTCATCATTCGAACAATCAATCCTCAGCGTGTGGAGAGTGATTTTCTACTAGAGGTATTCAAGCTTGTGTCATTAATTTAAAGTTCATCATATGGACACTGATTCTTCCCCTCAGTGTTGATCCTAACCCAAATTCTGATGTCGTCATTGGCAATGACCGAGTTTCCTGAGTACTCACACTTCCCCTTTAACTTATGAAGACAGATAGGGATCACTTTACCTCTGATTTATTTTCTGTCTGCGGGAATCTTTGCAGTTCTCTTTCTCCCTCCTAAAACCTGCTATTTGGTGACCTCCATTCATTGGTATAGTTTGGTGAAGTCATACAGAGGGAAGTGGGCTGAAGGATGCTAGCTGTCAGGGTGGACAGATCCCCACAAGCTGGCAATATCTCGGCCAGATCTGCACACTCAGGATCTGAGTTTTCTTGGCCCTGGGATACATGCATAAAGCTGAGAAAATCAGTTTATTAGTTTATAAGAACTGTAAGAACCAAGCTGACCTCAGATTGGTTGTCATCATTGCCCTGAAATTTACTTTCTTTCTATGAGAATAAACAGAATGTGGTACGTTAACCATGAAATCAGGGCAATGGTAGTTACTTGGTTGGTTGCTGTCCCCTCTCCCTACCCCTCCCTCCCCACCCAGAGAATAGGTTTTGTCTTTTCTGGTGATAAAACTAATAGAATCTCAATTTGTTAAAAAAAAAAAAAAATTCTCTGAGAAAACCAATGTTAACATTTTGTGTTATTTCACTTTTGGCGTTTTCTCTGCATTTATTAGCACTTTCTTTTTTCCAAAAAATGATGACATTTTACACACTATTTTGTAACTTGCTTTTTTTCCTTTACTATGTCAGAGACGTTTCCATGTCAATAGAGATCTTCAGAATAATTTTAACAATCACATATTTTTCTGTTATCCAGAATGTACCATAATTTATTTAACCAATTCCTTATTCTAACTTTTTATTTTGAAATAATATAAAATACATAGAAAAGTTGAAAAAATTAGACAAATAATTCGTATATACCCTTTACCCAGTTTCCCCAGTTGCTGACCACTTATCATGTTTGTCTTTTTATCCACTATTTATGGATAGTGATTTTTTTTCCCTGAACCATTTGAGAGTTAGTTGCTGGTGTGGTGCTCATTAGCCTTTAACACATCATTGTGTATTTCCTAAAAACGAGGACACTCCTATATAACGACAGTAGAATAATCACCATCAGGAAATCAACATTGAAATAACACTATCACTCAATCCTCAGGCCTCATTCAAATTTCACCAGTTGTCTCAATGATAATCTTTATGGTTCTAGGACCAATCCAGGATCATGTGTTTGTGTGTAGTTGTCAGTTCCCTCTGATCTCCTCCAACCTGGAACAGTTCTTCAGACCTACCTTGTCCTTAATGACCTTGATATTTTGGAAAAATACTGTCCAGTGACTCTGTAGAATGCATCTTAATTTGGTTTCGTCTGATGGTTCCTCATAATAGATTACCCGAAAGGTTATTTTTTGACAGAAATATCATAGAACATCAAAGTGATGCTATATTTTTCTCATTGCATGATGTCAGAAGGCTTACAATGTCAACTTGTACCATTTTTAGTGATGTTAACTTTTATTTCAGCAATTGTATTTTTCAGTTCTGAAATTTCCACTTGGTTCTTCTTTATATCTTCTATTTCTTTGCCACAACTTTCTATTTTTTCTTTTTGGTTCGATTCAAGTGTGTTTATAATTATTTGAAGCATTTTTCTGATGGCTGCTTTAAAACATTTGTCAGACAATTCTAAAATTTCTGCCCCCTCCATGTTGGCATCTGTCGATTGTCTTTTTTTTTGAGATCTTCCTGGTTCTTGGTGTGATGAGTGATCTTTGGTTGAAATCTGAACATTTAAAGTATTAGGTTATGAAACTCTGGACCTTATTTAAATCTCCTGTTTTAGTTGGCTTCTTCTGATACCACTCCAGTAGGGGAAGGGGTGGGAGAGACCTCACCTCCTAGCTGCCAACTGTGGGTAGAAGTCAAGGTTCCACACTAGGCCTCCACTCATGCCTCCCTGGTGCGAGGGGTGGGAGTTCCTCCTTACTGCTGCTCACCATGGCCTCTACTGATCTCAGAGGGCAGGGGTGGCTTCTTATTGCTTGGTGGTGGTGAACATCCTGATCTCCTCTGGGCCTCTTCTCACACCACCCCAGTGGGGATGGGGAGAGGCACTTGATTGCTGCCAGTTGGGATTGGATGTCCAGGCTCTCCTCATGGTCTCCACTGACCCTGAAGGGTAGGGGTGGGGGCCCGGACATCGGGGGTGAAAGTCTGCTCCCTCCGTGGCTTTCTCTGACAGCACTCCCGGGTAGCGGCTGGAGGATGATGTTGGGGCATCTCATTGTAGTCTGGTGAGGGGGGAAGTCTAGGCTCCCCATTTGGCCTTAGCTGGTGGGGAGGGGGGCGGGTAAGGGTGGAGCCACAGTTTTTTCTGTGATGTTTGGTTGGAGTAGAGGTTATGGCCTAGAAGTTTTCTGTCTTGCTAGGCTGCCCCTTTCCTGGTCCTGTTGCTAGCAAGAGGAGACTTTGGTTGGGGCTTTTTTGGTTTGTGCCCATTGGGGTTTCTATGTGGCTGGCTTTTTCAGTATCCAGTTTGGGACATAGGTAAAAAGAAACCCAGAGAACTCACCACAGTGTTATTCCTGAGGTCTCGAGTCCCCTGGCCAGTTTGCTTACTTATCTCCACCTGTAAGTAGTCTTATGTTCCTTTTATGTACAATTTCCTAGGTTTTTAGTTGTACTTAGCAAGAAGAATAGGGAAAAATACATCTACTCCATCTTCCTGGAAGCAGAAGTCCTAGTGATATAATTTGTATCCCTTGGTTAAGATGGTGTCTGCCACATTTTTATACTGGAAAGTTAATAAGTATTTTCTACTTTCAAATTAGTAAGTAAATATTTTGTGGGGAGATATATTAAGGGTATATAAGTATCTTGTTTCTCATCAAACTTTTACCCACTAGTTTTAGCATCCATTGAGAGTTCTTTCCTGAAATAATGATTATGATGGTTGCCAAATTGTGTTTATCTGATTCCATCATCCCTTTTACATTTATTGGTTGACATTCTGCTGTAACGCATAGCTTTTCCTTCTTCTTCATTTATATATTCATTTATATCAGTATACATTCATGGATTCCTACGTTATTCAGTGGTTTATGTTACATTACTATCATTTATCTTGATGCTCAAATTGTCCCAGATTTGGCTTCAAGTTGGCTTTTGTGTCTATCTACCTATTTAAAACCGTGAGTTCACACAAAAATATCTCCAATTCCAATCCATCACCACAAGATTTATTCTAGCCTTCTCTGTGTCCATATCTGTAACTTCTTTCTCCCATGGTGACAAATCTCCATTATTTTCAATATATATTATTATTATTTTTTAATGAGTTTATTTTTCCTTTTTCTCCCCAAATCCCCCCGGTACATAGTTGCATAATTTAGCTGTGGGTCCTTCTAGTTGTGGCATGTGGGATGCCTCCTCAACATGGCTTGATGAGTGGTGCCATGTCCGCACCGGGGATCTGAACTGGCGAAACCCTGGGCCGCGGAAGCAGAGTGCATGAACTTAACCACTCCACCACGGGGCCGGCCCCTCAATATATATTCTTACATGCTCAGTCTCCTTGTATGTGATCAATTTCCTGACCAGGCTTGGCAAATCCCTTCGGGCCTGGCACTGCTAAGCTGAATCCGCTTGGCCCAGAAACAAATGAGAAAGCAAAACAAGCAGGACATATGTGACCGAGGAAAGGTTAATATCCTTCCTTGCTCATGTTTCATTGAAATTTCTTCATAAACACCTTCAGATTTGGAAACATTCACTTTTAGGGCCTACTTTTTATTTATTTTTAAAATTTTTGCCCATTTGGTAGGTGAAAATGGTATCTTGTTATAGGTTTAATTGACATTTTAATTATTTATTACTAATGAGGTTAAATATATTTTCAAGTGTTTATTGACTATTTCTATTACCTATTCTGTGAATTGCCTATGTCTTTTGCTCATTTTCCTATAAGGATATTTATCCTTTTATCTTGATATAAGTATGGCTTATTAAAGATATTCACCTGTCATCTATCAAATGATTCTCATGGTTATTTTTCACAAATTTCTTTCTGGTGCTTTTTACCATGCAAAACAATTAAATTTTTATGTAGTTAAGTGCATAAATCTTTTCTTTTATGGTTTCTGCCTGTGTTTTGCTTAGAAAAATCATTCCCACTCTGAGAGTTATACAATTATTCACTTAAATCTTGTCTTGTTAATTTTATGGCTCCATTTTTGACATTTAACTCTCCAATTCATCTTGCATTTATTTTGGCGTAAAATAGGGATCCAGTGACCTGTTAATGATAATGTTAATTTCAAGTCAATGTCACCTAGGCTATGCATGGATTCCCTATGCAAAAATGGAATACTCATTGCTATGGTGTTGTGCCACTACCATTTGTTGATTGCTCCATCCTTTATTCATCTCTATCATGGTTTAAGCTATTATGTATGCTGGAGTCTGTTTCTTTACTCTTTATTCTGTTTCATTGATCTGTCTCTTAAGCTTTCAATGTTATACTGTTTTCATTTCTATGGCTTAATAATGTTTCTACATTTGAATGATATACCTTCCTTCTGGACTCTTCTTTTTCCCCCCAGCAGTTTCCTGATGCATTTAGTTTTCAAAATTTACTTCAGAATTATTTTTCATGTTAAATAACAGTATCTACCTCACTGGGAGATGCAGATTCAACAAGTGTTAATACATATAAAGGGACTAGAACAGTGTGGCTGGTAAGGTAAATATTCAATAAAGTTAATTATTATTTTTAAGCGACAAAAGTCCAACTTGAGCTATCTTTAGAAAAGAAGGAGACTATTGGTTCATGTGACTGATAGCCCTGGGGCAGAGCTGGACCCAGAGGTCTGATGGTGCTCTGTCTCTCCCCATGTGGAGGACGCTGGCCATCCGGGACTCAGCCTCCAAGCTTAAAATCCCCAAAAGGAAGAGGGCGTCTTCCCCATAGCTCCAGCTGAGAAGTCTTGGAGAGGGCTCTAACTGATGTAGCTTTGATCAAACACGCATCTCTGGACCAAACACTGTGATGGGGGTGGATACCTTGGCCTTGTACCCCTGTGGTCAGCCCACCTGATCAGTGTGGAATGGATTTTCTCCTCAGGAGAGAGTAATTCTGTCTCTAGAAGATGGGAATGGGATGCTGTCTGGAAAAGCAAAAACAGATGATTCTGTATCTCCTTATATTTTAAGTTCTTTGAGGTATTTCTTTGTTGCCTCCGTGGATGGTCCACGTTAAGTTCTTCAATAAGGACTTTTCAATAAAAATTTAAAAGTTGGCTTGCCAAACTTTTACTTTGCCCATTGTGTCAATCAGAATTTGTAGGCAGATTGTGGAAATCCCTCTGGCTAGCTTAGGCGGAGAGGGGCTCAATACCAAGAATCAGGGAGTTCAATGCTGACAAACTGTGAGAATTGGAGGAGCAGGCTGTAGTGTGTCCAGAAAGGACTCCCAGAACAACACACAGACCTGGCCTGCTGAGGGACTGCTGCCTATGCCTAGTCAAACAGCCTGCTGCCCCGTTTGCCAGCTCCAGGTCCAACTGGCTCCTACATGGTCTGGAAAGTAACAAGCCTCCACTTGGACTGTTGGGTCTGGGACCTCATTACCTCAGCCATACTCCTTACTAGCAAAATGGATGCCCAGTACAATGCCTGTGATCGCTTGGGCCCCCTCTACTTCTGCTGCGGAAAAACCAAGCATTTCCATGCTAGCTGAAGAAGCAAAAGGGGGAGGTGGGATCCACAGTGGAGGCTGGGAAATGTAGCCTTCATTTTCTAGACTCCAGCGTGCACCCGGGCACACCATAAGGGGGTCAGAAGGGAATGGAGTGAGCCAGTCAACTTAGGAAGAACATTGAAAAGAAAATCTCTACCATCTACTTTTACATCATTTTAAAAGGAAAGAATATTTTTTTAACCCTCCAAAAGCACAGAGGACATAATCTGACTCTAAAGCACAGGTGGTAACTCTAAACTGATTACATATATGTATATATATGTATATATATTATGTACACAAGCAAGTTTATATTTTTCTCATGTCACTGATTTTTTTCACTGGATTGTTGAAGATCTTACCACAAACCAACCCTAGATTAGCCCTAGGGAAATCCTGCTCTACTGGTAGACAGAGAAAACGAAAGGAGGTGAAATGCAAATACATAATTTTTGCTATTTCTTGATTAGACTGTCTATGTTTGATGGGAAAGAACCTGAAGTTGTATATGGTAGGGTGTTGTCTTGGATTATGCATAAATTTTTATTATTTATTTCCTTACCCCTTCAGCTTCCCACCTGCCTTCCATTACTTCCCTTCCCCCCACCCCAAATTGTTCTAGCATCCCATAGCTGGAAATGGACTGGGCCTGCTTTTCTCAGGCTCTTGACTCTGGCCCCCTAATCTCTATATTTTGCTGCTCCCCAGCTGTTACTTGAACACCAGGATGCATATCAGGCTGGATCTGTGTTTCCTGATGCGTTTTACCCCAGCATCTGTGAAGGAGGTAAGGTAAAGATTTGTAGACCAAACAATGTCACTTTTACCTGGTTAATAGGAATGGCTATGGCTTTAAAAAGTAGCACGTTCTGTTTTCCACTATTGTTGGTCAATGACTTAGTTCACTTAGTTGCATTTTCCATTTAACCAACACTTATCTGCTTAAGCATAGGAATTCTGAAAACTTCAATGGTTCTAAATGCCCTTACTTGCTTTACTGCTTTGTGGCAGAAGAGAAAACATTTTGAAAGAGATCTAAGGTCTGAGTTTTTGTTCCTTCTATACTGTCTGTTAACATGTGACCTTGAAAAAGTCACTTCCATGCTGAGTCTCAGTTTCCACATCTGTAACAAAGTAAAAATGGTGCCTGCTTTGCTCCTTTACTGGATTTTTGTTGGTATTAATGCGTATTTTGTCAAGTGTTATGCAAGTCTAAGGAAGTGTTATCAGTAAACTGGGCTTATGAGTGTATCAGTTAGGGCCCCAGCAGGCACATTCAGACTGAGTAATTTGAGGGAAGTTTTTATAAGGGGACCACTTACAGAGGTATGAACAGGATGGAAGAAAATTGTAAGGGATAGACTATGCAGGGGAGGGAGCAGTTCCGGGAACTGCTGACAGAGAGCTGTGTGGAGAGGGACGCTTGATGGGGGCCAGACCTTCAGTCAGGGACACAGCTAGCTCACTGTGACCCCACAGAAGTGGAGCTGGGAGAATGAATACCCCAGCCTGTCTCTCCTCCTTTTCTCCGGTGACTTGTTGCTTCTCTCCATTGGCCAAACCCAACCCAATCAAAGCCAGAGGGCAAAGAAGCCAGTTGAAGTAGGTCACCTCCAAGGCACTGTGCAGGGTGGAAAAGGATGGCGAGTGGATCAACAGGGGTGAACAAAAGACATCCAGTACACTAGATCATCGCATAAACGGTTTTTGGAGTCTCAGGGTCATCAGCCATTATCCCCCCCCTTTTTTGTTTAAAGTAATACAGTGATGCCTTTAGGGTATCAACAAAAATATGTAGAATACAAAAGTTTCATCAGGAAAGCTTTATTGCTCATACAGTTTGCAAACCAGGGAGATGCAGCCTTGAGAACAAATCGAAAGTACGCTCTCGGGGTAGACCACAGGGTTTTTTTTTTTTTTCCGAAAGCCTTCTGGTTCTTCAGTTCCTCTATAGAAACTGCTGTTCTAAAATCAGCTTTTTCAGACTTCTGGCCGTCCATCAGGAAGGAACACTCCTGCAGGTACGGGTTGTGGTTTTCCTGAGGACAGAGTATGTGACTGCTCCTTTGTCCTGCATGGTCACCAGACGGTTTTAAATCCCAGTTAGCCACACAGAGTCCATTTTGTCTTTTTCTTTTCTCTTGCCCCCTATCTTTTGTTTTAATTTCTCAAGGGTCAGTGAAATATTTAAGGCTGCTCACTCCTATGGTTATGATCCTGGATAACTAAACTTTTGTATTTCTCATATTTGTAAGTGGTTTTCTTCCTGTTTCCCTTTTGGTCTGTTAGCTATCATTTCTCAATCCTATAATTTTGCCTGCGTGTTGCGGTTCCTCTGTGTCTAACCTATTGTATCTCATTTAGCATTTCCCAAACTGTCTTCAGGGGGCTCAAATGTCTCTTGAGATTTTTACAGTTCCTTGTTATCTTACATAAAAAAGAAAGAAAAATGGGTTTTTTTGTCAATTAAATCTGAGAAATATTACTTAACATATGCATTTTTAGAGACAGATATAACACACAATAATAAAGGTTCTGAGAAGAGTTGGAAAGGAATGAAAACTATCTAGCATTTTCCATTTTTTTATAAACCCATAGATTCTCCTCTTATCAGGTGTAAAGATTGGGACCAGTATATGACTGAACCAAAAAAGTCAATTAGAAAGAAATATAAAATATATAATGATTGCAAGGGATTTGAATATCAATTTCTCTTATATTTTTATGAATTTTTGCAAATCTTCTCTTTGTCTCATCCATACCCATTTCAGCAGAAGTTCCCTTTTTCTTTTTCGGTAATTCACTTTTTTTACATCTTCCCGAAGCACTTAACTTTCTTAGATACTCAGTTGCCGAAGAAACAACTCTTTGTTTTTGTACTCTTGTGTTTCCTCAGTTTACCTAATATTGAATTAAATTCTATAGTAACAATAACAAGGACAACCTGGCTTAAACAGGATTAGAAACAAACTTGGCTGATACTCAGTAAGCTAAGGCACAGCTGTGGGGACAGAGGCGCTCCTGCCTAGGGGCAGTGGCCTGCTGGCTGCCAGGTGTGGGGGTGGGGAGCGTGTGTGGGGGTGGGATGTGGGCTGGATCTTTTGCTCCCAGTCAGTATGATTTACAGAGGAAACAGAGAGCTTTGGGTAATGGCAGTTTGGTTATGTGGAGGTTTGTCAAAAGAGCTACCACTAATTCTGGAGTTTTACTGTATTCTGCAGAATAAGAATTGTAAGTTTTATCTCTGGGAAAACTGTTGGAGAAAATCAAAATTCTTAGTTATAAGTTCTTTGAAAATCATTTTCAGAAAAACCCATGATTTAAAGGTAGTGAGGCTGTTTTTACTTTAGCGGCAGCATAAAACATTTGAGCTGAGGGATCTGAACTCTGGAGTTTGCTTTCCGTTGCCCTCGTGACATTTGACATCCCATGAAGAATTTGTGGCATTTGGACGTTTAGAATAGGTGCCAGTTCCTGTCTTTCCTGCCCCTCCTGTGGGGATAAAAAGCTCCGTGGGACACCCAGTGGCCCACTCAGGTGATGCTCAGGGCCTGTGCCATTTGAAAACTATTATTATAAATCCAAATGCTTGAAAGCCCTTGCAGTATCTGCTTTTGTCTTTTCTGCTATTAGGGAGGTTGATTGTGACGGACAAAGAGGATTGAAAACACATACACACACATACACACACGAAAATAACTTATTTCTTTACCTTCAGGGCACAGAAATTGAAAATGCTTCCAGCCTCTATTGCAGCCCAGGTGATAGAGATGCTGTGAGCCAGTTTAGGCCCCTTTCACTTTCGGCTGGCTCTTGTGTTCTAGAAGCTTCCTTGAACATCAACAGAAGAAACTTAAGAGGCTTGGAGGGAAGAAGGAGAAGGAGGGACGCAGCAGTGCAGCAGGCGGGGGTGGAATTTGGCTGAGAATTTCCAACTTTTTAAGAAAGAATCCTTTGGCCTGCTTTTGTTTTTGTCAGGAAAATTCCATGACGTGTCTGAGAGCACGCACTGGACTCCATTTCTTAATGCGAGCGTTCATTATATCCGAGAGAACTACCCCCTTCCTTGGGAGAAGGTAGGCATGGCCCTCTAATCCTGAAAAATTCAGTTCCAGACCTGCCAAGTCCTGTTTTTCACCTGCATTTACCCCATTTGTACCCCTCCCCCTCCCCATGCTCTGCGAGGGCTATTGACCACTGTACCTTCAGCACCAAACACAGTACTTGGGAAGTGGCAGATGGCTAGTTAATATTTGAATAAATTATTTTAAAAAAATGTTTGGAGTATGTCACTTGGTCGTTTTGCTCCAATAGTAATTAATTCAAGCACTTCCAAGGTACTACAAAACTTTTCAAAAAGTCAAAAGACATTTCAATTTTGTGGTTTTTGGGGAACTCGAAACTACAATGTACCTGCCTCTGATTTTTTTTTTTAAGTCTCAATAATGGAAACGAATTCATGCTTATTGAAACTTTTCATAGGATTGTTATAAAATAACCCAAACACACGTGCCTCTAACTTGCTGATTTGGCAGGACACAGAGAAACTGGTAGCTTTCTTGTTTGGAATTACCTCTCACATGGTGGCCGATGTCAGCTGGCATAGCCTGGGTATCGAACAAGGATTCCTCAGGACCATGGGAAATGTGAGTACCTATCTTTAAGGTTAATGACTTTACGAGAGCGACACTGTCATACCCAAGATCCCAAACCAACCCTTTTAAAGGAAAGGAAAACTTTAGGTTATTCAGATGTCATGTGGAAACAAGACTTCTTGTCCAAAGTGGTACTTGTTAGATTTTCATCTTTTTCTATGCATTCTTCTTCTTGCTACCTGGGTAAATTTATCCACATGGCAGAACAACGAACATGCATGAAAACAGCAATAGAAGTGACATTCTGGTTTAGCCACAAACAGTGTTTGAAAATTTTATTTTATTCAAGCTGTATCTTAATAAGACATGAATACCTACTATTTGGTTCTATTTAAAAGTAATAGTTCCACGTGTTTTTGTTTTTTCCTCTTTAATTTTCTATATGAAGATGCCATATTGTCAAATTGACAATTATGCTTTTATCTGGTAACTTAGCTTCTGGAAGCCCCCTCTGGTCATTCATCGATATTAATATTATTCTGTGAGAAGTTTAAGCTTAGACTCAGCAGAGATTTTGTGTATATCTTATTATATACAAAGGTCTAGAGTAGCTTTCTCTCTTACCAGACATTAAGTGTACAACTCAGCTGCCAATATAATTTTTTATTAAGAAATAAAATAATAAAATTGTTTCTTTGAAAATTGAGTCCGTCCATTATGCATCCCCAGCAATTCCTTGGGTTAGGCTGTCGTCTCCCCACTACTCGCTTGATTGTGGGGTAGGAGTTTGGGCTACAGTTTGTGATGTCGACCAGCTGGTTCTCTTTCTTTTTCAGATTGATTTTCATGGCTCCTTTCCTGAGGCGCATTCGGCTGGTGATTTTGGTACTGTTTATATGTACTTGCCAAATTTCCTTTTGCAGTAGTTATAGTCTACTTGTAATGAAGTCAATACTGTACATTAAATACATGTTTTTTAAATCATATCTTGCCAGTAGCACATACTGCTTTCTATTTGAATGTTGTAGTTCATTCAGAGTACACAGGTACCTCATTTAACATGGAGACGTACTGCTGAAAAGTTGTGTAGATTGGGTATTTTTTTGGTTAAAAAAATCACATTTTATCATTGACTTGTATCATAATTTTAGAAAAGCTTTTATATTAGGTTAAAAGTCATTACCTAGTGTCTACTAATACATTAGCTTTAAATTGGTAAACTTCATCTTTTTTTCTGTAGGAAATTACTTTTAAATATACAAACTAGATGGTGAGTGGTGTTGGTTTAAAAGAACTCTTATGGTTCATCTTTCCTTAAAGTAAAAAACATTTTGGTTATATGGGTGATCCTTTCTTAATTCATATTTCACTAGCTACAATTTTAGGAGATCACTTTTTCTTAAAGATATGCCTATACCGAACAAAATGAACAGAAACTTGTAACAATGTGAAGAACTAATCAACTGGATTGAGCAAATTTGTGGTAAAAGAAGCCTGCTATATGTTGTCACTAATCCACCAAATGTAAATATTTTTCTCATCCCTTAGGAGGAGATGTATTGAGCCAATTTGAGTTTAATTTTAATTACCTCTCACGGCACTGGTAAGAGCGATGTACATTTACTTACTTTTATTTTTATTATTATTTTTTTTGAGGAAGATTGACCCTGAGCTAATATCTGTTGCCAATCCTCCTCTTTCTTTTTTTTCCCCAAAGCCCCAGTTGTATATCCTCGTTGTAAGCCCTTCTATGTGGGACGCCACCATAGCATGGCTTGATGAGCGGTGTGTAGGTCTGTACACAGGATCCGAACCCACGAACCCCAGGCCACCGAAGCAGAGCGTGTGAACTTAACCACTATGCCATTAAGTGGCATTAAGTGCAGGCTGCCCTGCAATGTCCATTTAAATATGTGATAGCTAATGGCATTTAGGATCTTGCTCCTTTTTTCTTAGAAAATATAACTTACAATGTAATTAGGAGTCTTCTGCATTTGCAAATTGAGAAGTAAAACTGCAGATTAGTCTAAGTAGTTTCTTTAAAAACATTTGTGAATTATACCAAACAGATAAAAAAATGTATAATTATACATAAAATATGATGATGCACACCTGTGTAGCCACCACCCAGTTTAAGAAACAGAGCATTTTTGGTCCTCAGAAGCTTCTTGCCTTCCCCCCTTTAGCACATCACCTTCTGTCCCACCAGGGGTAGCCACTACCCTAGGTTTCCTGTTAATCATTTGGTGGCTTTTCTCTATAGTTTTACTACATATGGATGTATCCATATGTAAAATATAGGTTTTCACTTTAGGTAAGTAGAATTACGCAGTATGTATTCTGCAAATGTTTTGCTTGAAATTATGTTTGAGATTTAATGGTATTGATATATTCAGCTGTAGTTTGTTCATTTCACCACTGTGTGGTCCTCCGTTGTGTCTATAACAAAATGAACTACTCCAGACTAATGTTGATGGATATGTAAGCAGTGTTAAGTGTTTTTGCTTTACACATAGTGTTGCTATGAACCTTTTTGTACACACATTTGTGCACCAGAGAGGAATCTCTCTCAAGTAAGCATCACCAGAAGTGGAATTGCTGGGTTGTAGGGTTTATGCATGTTTAACTTAACTGGGTAACCCTAGACTCTTTCAAAATGGTCTTCCCACTCTAGACTCCCATCAGCTTTGCATAATAGTTCTGCTTCTTCTGCGTTTTCCAATACTTGGTATTGTTCACCTTTGAAGTTTTTCTATCATTTGGTATGTAGTGGTATCTCATTAAAGTTTTAATTTGCATTTCCCAGATTGCTAAAGAGCTTGAACATTTTTTCATATTTTATTGACCATTTGTGTTTGATTTTAAGTGACCATCTTGTTCAGTTTTTAGCTTATTTTTCTGTTGGGTTGTTCTTTTTATTTATTTGTGAATGTTCTTTGTATATTAGAGCTTCTGATCTTTTGTTTATCCTTTATTCGTTACAATTATCTTTTTACAGTTTGTGGCATGTCTTTTTACTTATTTATGGTGTATCTGAAACAGAATTTATTAATTTTGATGTTGTTGAATATATCAGTCTTTTCCTTTGTAACTTGTACTTTTGGTGTCTTATCTAAGAAATCCTTCCCTACCTTGAGGGCATGAGGTTATTCTTGTACTTAGCCTTCTAAAGCTTCTATAGTTTTATTTCTTAATTTTATGTGTTAATTTACCTGGAGTTAATGTTTTGTATTTTCTGAGTTAGAATCTAATTTTATTTTTTCCTGTAGAGATAACTAATTGTCCTAGAACCGTTTATCAATAATCTACCCTTTCCTCTCTGATCTGTAATGCCCTCTCTGACATAAATTAAAATTCCCTATGCATGTGCGCCAGTTTCTGGGTTTTCTATCACATTCTATTGGTCTCATGACTATTCCTGAGCAATACTGATTTTTTAAATTACGATGGCTTTACAGTACGTCTTGACATTTATTAGGGCAGATCTCCCAACCTGTCCTCCTTTTTGTTCAGATGTACCTTGTCTATTCTTTTGCCTTGGCTCTTTGAAATAAGTGGTGGGCTCAAGTTGCTATGTTCCAAGAAAAGCCTTGTTGGAATTTTCATTAGAATTTTGTTGAATATAGAGATCAATTGGAGGAGAATTCATAATTTTGTAATATTGAGTCTTCTTATCCATATATATGCTATATATTTTATTTGTCTCCTTTAATGACTTTAAGGTTTTATAAATGTTTCCATCAAGACCTTACATGTTTTATTAGATTTAGTTGCAGAGACTTTATATTTTTATTTGCTACCATAAATGGTAATTTTTGGTTCCAGTTATATTTTCTAATTGATTTGATGGTATATGGACATGCAAATGACTTCCTAATTTTGATTTTGTATCTAGCAACATTTCTAAGCTATCTTGTTAATTTTAATTTATCTGGAGATTCCCTTGAATTACGATATAAAATCTATAAATTATGACAATTTTTGCTTTTCCTTTTCAATCTTTATACCTTTCATTTCTTTTTCTTGCTGTATCACACTGGCTAATATTTCTAGTGCAATAGAAGTAGTGATATTGAACATACTTATCTGGTTCCTGATCTTAAAGGAATGCTTTCAAGATTTCATAATTAAGTGTAATGTTTGCTGTGGATTTTTATGAATATCCTTTATCAAGTTAAGGAAGATTTCTTCTATTTCTAGTTTGCTAGTAGTTTTATTATACATTAATTTCATATGTATTCAACTCTTATTCTGCATCTGTTGAGATGGTTGTTTCTTAATTTGTTAATATAGTGAATTATACTAACTTATTTGCTAATATTAAATCAACTTTACTTCCTGGAACAAAACCAATTTTGTAATGATATATCACCTTTTTTATATTTGTTCCATCTGTTCTTGCTGTTTAAGGGTTTTGCATCTATGTTTATGAGTGAGCTTGCACTGTGATTTTCCTTCTGTCCTTGTTTGGTTTTGGTATCAAGGTTATGCTGACTTCATGAAATCAGGTGGGGGAGTGTTCCTTCTCTATTCTCTGGAAGTCTGTGAAAGATGAGAATTTTGATTCCTTGACTGTTTGGTAGAACTTGTCTCTAAAGCTACTTAGACCCAGTGTTTTCTTTCTAGGGACTTTTTAGAAAACTTCTTTAATGATTATAGGACTATATAGGACTGTACAGTTTTTCAGTTTTTTCGTAAGAAGTTCTATATTTTTCTAGTACTTTTCCATTTTATCTCAATGTTTAAACATTTAGGCATAATATTGTTCATAATATCTTCTTCTTATCTTTTTTCTCCTGTTTTATTTGTACTCATGTTCCTTTTGTTACCCATCATGTTGTTTATACTGCTTTCCCTTATATTTTTAAACAATTAGTCTCATCTAATTTTTCAATTTTATTGTTTTAAAGAATGAACTTTTAGCTTTATTTATCCTATTATATGTTCCTTTTATCTTGCATTACTTTTTACTCATATATTTATTTTCTTCTTTTTGCTTTCTTTGGGTTCCTGTGAAATTTATTGAATCTTGACTTAAAATCTAGCATGTGATCAATTTTTGTAAATATTTCATATGTGCTTGAAAAGAATGTTAATTCTCCAACTTTTGGCTAACTGTTATATGTATGCTTATTAGCTTAAGCTTATTAAATTTATTATTCAAATCAAAGGATTTGTAAGCTATTAATAGTCTTACTATATGTTTTTTATCAGGTTGATCTAACAATTATTGAGAGAGAAATTTGTTAAAAAATCTCCCCTACGATGGTGGATATTTTCAATTTCTCCTTGTAGTTCTGTCAAAGTTTGTTTTATATATATATATATATATATATATGCTTCGAAGATATGTTATTAGGCACATTTAAGTTTCAAAATCTTATATCCTTCTGGTGAATTAAATCTTTTCTCATGATATAGTGACCCTCTTTATCTCTAATAATGCTTATTGCCTTCAAGTCTACTTTAGCAGATGTTGTAGTTCCACTGGTCCTCTTTTGGTTGTATTCCATGGCATCAACTTTCAGGAAAAGAAATCAGCTTTATTGTTAGATCTATCTGCAAGGAAACAGGAGGTATATTGCTCTCAGATCTGTCTCCTTGATCCAAGGCTTGGGGCACAATTTATAGGATGAAGGACAGGGTGGTTTGAAGTGTGGACATAGATGATTGGAGGTAAGGAGAAGTGAGGTAATGATTTGTGCAAGTGTAGTCAAACTTCATGCCTCTTCATAGGATGCGTGTTCACAAAATGGCAGCATTACCACCATCTGAGGGGGGAGTTTTTAACTCCTTGACGTCCAAACATCACTTATTTTTTTATCAAGCATTTGCGCAGGACCTGTTGATGGGTTGGTGGCCTCAACCAGCCTGATCTGGACAAAGGGGTCTCAGTTCCTGAAAAATCACTCTTACTCTGTTGATAAGATGGGGTCAGTTGAACTGGTCCTGGAGGACCCACGGTTACACCTTGAGGCACTATTCACCTGGGACCACTTTAAGTTTCCTTCAACCCTTGAAGTTTTTCTAACTACACAGATAACACCAATGCAGGACAAAACATTCATGGGGCTGGGTAGTGGTTACCAACTCAGGGGGAGAGATACCTCTCCCCGCCCATCCATTGCCAAGATGAAGACATTGCCGTAGCTTTTTGTATGTTGGATTTACTTCTCGCTAAGACTCATCCAGAAAGTGTAGCTTTTAATGTAGTTTCCCCAGAGATGGTCCACTTTGGGTGGTTCCTGTGCTTTCTCTCCTGTCTCCTGCTATAGCACGCAGCCATCAAAAAAATTCTGGCCTCCCAGGCTTTGGCAGATGTACTCAGGGCAAAAGCTGACTTTTCTACTCACTTTCCTCCTGAAGTTTCCAGTTTCAGTTTGTTTTGGCCTTTGGAAAATTTTCACTTTCTTGCTAGCTTGGTGATTCATCTAATAAAATATTTTTGTTATTTTTGTCAAACCTTTTAAACTTTTTGTTGGGAGGACCATTCCAGTGGACATCTCAGTAGATTCTTTGTTATAAATATACTAAAATCAGGTTTTATTGATTACGATTTGTCTGGTATATTCTAAAGTTTTTGAAATGAAGATAAAAGATGATTTTCTATAAATCTAATTTTAAGATGCTGCTCTTCTTCCAACTGAAATAACTAATATCTGTGAAGCAAAAGCCTGACTTAGAATTCTTTTCATTACCTTACACTGTGTACTCTAAAAGTAGACGCTTGGGGTGAGGAGCCATTTTTGGGGTTTTTTAAATAATGATTCTTGAGAATAATTAAATTAAAAAGAATAAAAATATATTGCTCCTTGAACTCTGAATTGACAAAGCTAAACATCCCTTTTATACCTTGTAGTTAGTTTCCTATCTTTGAGCCTACCTTCATAAATATTTAAAGATACCACTTGTTTGCTCTGCAGCATTGGGCAAATTATTTAACTTTTCTGTGCCTTAGTGTCCTCTGTGCAAATTGGGACTATGATAGTGCCAACCACCTGGGGTTGGTAGGATTAAAAAAATGGTCCACGTAAAGCCCTTTGCATGGTGTCTGACACAATAATCATGGAATAACTGGTAGCTACTGTTAAAGTTTGCTATATACATGCTTTTATATATATATATATATGCTATTTATCTTCATCTTCAGAATCAAAACAACTCTTATTCTGGTGCTTTTCTCAGGTATGTGCCCACTGAAGATCTACTGGAAATTTATAAGAAACTCTATGGCCGAGAAGTCATCACGAAAAATGCAATTGTTGACTGTTCATACCTTCAATTCCTGGAAATGTAAGTGTAACCCGCAGGAAAATTTGCAGCTGATTTTATTGTGACTTCCTTAACACGCTTTTCGATGTTTTTGTTTCCTGTGAGTGGATTTTGGCTTTATGGACTTTGCTTATTCAAAAAGGCAGTTATATGATAGTGGATGCGTGTGGGTGGAGCTTTTTCTTCTTTATTTGCTTCACTTCTTTGTGGAAACCACGACTCACAGTCCAAATTATTGTTTACGTTGCAGGTATGGTGAGATGCTAGCTATTTCCAAGGTAAAAGCTTCATTCTTCAAAATCTTAGAGTTATAAAGGTAGCAGGAGAAGCGCCTTATTAATTTGTGTACTTATTTTTCTTTCCCTTTGCCATAGCTTTATCCCACTTATTCTAGAAAGTCACCATTTTTGGTGGAACAATTCCAAGAATATTTCCTTGGAGGACTGGATGATATGGCGTTTTGGTCCACTAAAATTTACCATCTCACGAGCTTCATGTTAGAGAATGGGACCAGGTGAATTACTCTATTTCTTCTACCAACCACTCCCTGCCTTGCTACCCCCATCCCCGACATAAATCTCAGGGTTTTCAACTGATCAAATGAAAACAATGTCTAGTGAAGTTCTGTCCTATCTTCAAGAGGGAAAAGGATGGAAAACCAGTCATCTCAAAACTCTGATTAGCACCCATCTGGTTAGATTTGCTGATGTCTCTCATGTTTTAGGGGTAGAGAGACAGTTATTGCAAAATATGTGGTCTGTGAGAAATGGCTCAGGTGGGAGGGAATCAGCTTCCCCTGCTTTGCTCCATCTGTTTCTTTTGGGAGAACCCATGCTGTGTGCCGAGGTGCTAGCTCTCCACAGGCTCCACCACGGCCATGGCGATCCTCCTCTCCATCCCGACTGACCTCTGAGTTCGAGGGTTTCAAAGGGGACTTTACCTAACCTGCCCCCCATCCCCCAAATAAAATCAGAAATGAATGCGTTTGTAAAGCACAGCCTTCTGTTGGAATTTGACATCTAATCCAGATGGGACAGCTGCTCAACCTCCAGCTCCTTTGCTGCTCCTTGCCAGCATGCCTAGGACAATGATCAGAGACTCAGCTGGCGAGAAGGCCAGGGTAGAGTGGGATCGTCCCCAATTCCAGCTGTAATAGACCTTTCTGCTCTCACAGAATCTACTCGATGGTCTGACAGAGCCATAGTTCCCCTCAAAACCTGTTTCCAACAGTACCAGTGAGTACGCAGCCCCTCCCACACTGCTGGGCTGAGCAGGGTAGGGATGGGGTCCAGAGAGGGAGCACTGGAGGCAGCACCTGAGGCAGGGAAAGGGCGGGGTGGGAAACTTACGTAGCAGCCACAGCAGTGGGAGAGAGGGTTCTATGGTAGGAGGTGTCTGTTCCAGGTAAGGATCATAGGAGGGTTGGGGTTTATAAGTTCAGTGGCCTATATAGGCATAGCTCTGGGATATTATACACCAGATGATGTTCCTTTGCCATTAAAAATATTTGTTAGTATTCAAATAATATTAACCATAATTGTATATGGTGTTGATTTCAACAAAATTTCCTTCGATAAATTTGATATTTGCCTAGTAAATGTTAAACTTGTTTTAATGACTCAGTGAGTAACAATTTGGCAGAGATTAAAAACACATTTACATTAGTCTTTTTCTTTTTGCTGAGGACAATCTGCCCTGAGCTAACATCTGTGCCAATCTTCCTCTATTTTGTGTGTGGGTTGCCGCCACAGCACGGCTGATGAATGATGTAGGTCTGTGCCTGGGAACCAAACCTGCAAACCCGGGCTGCCAAAGTGGAGCACACCGAACTTAACCACTAGGCCATGGGGCCGTCCCCTAAATGTCACTTTTATTTATTTATTTATTTGGTGAGGAAGATTCACCCTGAGCTAACTAACATCTGTGGTCAATCCTCCTCCCTTTTTTTTTTTCTTTTTTTTGCTTGAAGAAGACTAGCCCTGAGCTAAAATCGTTACCATCTTCCTCTACTTTGTGTGTGGGATACCTCCACAGCATGGCCAACAAGTGGAGTAGGTCTGCACCTATGAACCCAGGATCCAAACCCGCGAACCCAGCCCGCCAAAGTGGAGCACGCAGAACTTTAACCACTCAGCCATGGGGCCAGCCCCCTAAATGTCATTTTTAATAATGAGATAAACTTCAAGTAAAATCCCTAAGCTCCCCTTTTATAGCCATGGTTTTTAGGTGCATATGAATTTAGAGAGGATGGACTTTGAAATTTAAGAGACTTGCCACTCACTACTGAGTTATCCCAAGCAAGTTGCTAAACCTCCCCAAGTTTTGTTTTCCCAGCTGTAAAATGGGGACAGTAATAATTCCATCTTTATCAAAGGGTTATTTTAAGAAGTAAATGAGGTCACTTATGTAAAGGGTTTAGCATGGAGTAAGCACTTAACAAATGTTGGCTATTAGTATTATAATTCTTATTAGAAGGAAGTTAAGTTGACATTGGAGGGACCATGTTAGAGTGAATGACCTGAATTTGTTTTATAAAGTCCATGTGTAATGATCCTTAAAGTGGGAAACAGTTTTGGTGTTTGTTTTTGGCTAGGTTGTCCAAATAGCTAAGGAAAGAAGATGTGAGCTATACTTTATTCTTTAATTAGGAGGAAATAATTGAGAAGGAGCATATTCCTTGTCTCTTGACCTCTGTCCTAATTTACCGTGGTAGAAAATTCCATGAATTGTTGTGTGTTTACATGCACATACAAAGAAAGATTCATCAGAATTTATGGTAAATTTAGAGCAGGTTTCAAAGAAAGACAACACAAATAAATTCATGGCAGAAAGAACAATATATTTTCATATTATAGTATTTCTTAATTTACTCATAATAGGTTCTCTTCCAAAGCAAACTTATGTTACTTGAAACTCATAGTATATTTTCCTAACAAAATAGTGAAATAATGGTATATTCCCAGCCAGAACTCTGCATGACTCCCAAATATTTGTAACTGTAGTGCTAATGTTGTAAGGCTGCCACCTGAATCTTGGTGGTGGAGAAAAGAGAATTCAAGAAAAAACCTTTTCCTTTGCTTAAAGTTGCCGCTAAGAATGACTTTGATAGGAGCAGTTTGCCTTCAGCTTCCTCCCACCTCCTTTTCTGAATTCCTTTTTCCAGCAACTAGTCCTCCTTGCCATAATACCACCTGTGGTCAGCTCAGCCACCCTCATCCAGAAGGACTGGGGCCTCTTCCCGGTCCTGTCTGGCTAAGTAATGAACACCCTACACTTAGACTTTTGGAGGTGCTTGAAGTGCACCATCAGTGCTCAGTAAAATTCAGCCTTGAGAGGAAGGTAGAAAGATGCCTGACTCATCTGACTATTTCCCCAGTGACTGCAACCTCCCTGAGAACCCTCTGTTCATTGTGTGCGGTGGCCGGCGATCCAGCACCCGGGGGTAAGTGCATTCCAAAACTGTTCACAGAAAAAGAACGTCTCACCCGGAGGGGTGCTCAGTAGACACTGAAAGCATGGGACTTATAGACTGACAGATAGAGGTTCAGATTCCAGCTCTGCCATTGACAGCTATGTGATTTTAAACCAGTTGCTTAGTATGTGCAAGAATGGATGTCAGGCAATTAGCACATTAGGAAATTGCTCACTAAATATTAAATGGTAGTTAATAGTGTCATCACTTTCATTGTTGTTGTTATTGCTTATAAACTTTACCTAAACTTCACCCTGAAAGAGTATTTATCAAAGAGATAGGGTGGGGGGAAGACCTCTCTGGTAATTTCTGAGGAAGAGGGCCGGAGGGCTTGATTTGTATTCTAAGAGGTGGTATTCCCTGCGGGAGTCAGGTACCAACCACCAACCATTCATTCATGCACTTAATAACTGTATTAATATTATAAATACTTATTAATAAAATATAACAATAACATAATACAGATGATAAAATAGTATTTCCTCATCATCCAGGAACTACTTTAGGTTTTACAGACCTCATTGTGAACAAGACAGAAACAGCTCCTGCTCTCAGGACATATGCGCTGGCGAGTGGATGGACTCTGAATAACTTCTTGTAAACACACTTGGCCCTCAGTATCCGCAGGTTCTGCATCTGTGCATTCAACCAACTGTGGATCCAAAGGCCTATGATGGTTGCATCTGTACTGACCAGACATAGACTTTTTTTCCTTGTCATTCCCTAAACAATACAGTATAACAACAATTTACATAGCGTTTGCATTGTATTAGGTGTTATAAGTTATCTAGAGATGATTTAAAACATACGGGAGGATGTGCGTAGGTTATAAGCAAATACAACGCCACTTTATAAAGGGATTTGAACATCGTGGATTTTGGCATGGGGGGGTTCTGGAACCAATCCCCCACAGATACTGAGGGATGATTGTACTCTTAAGAGCTAGGAAGGAAAAGTAGGGGGTGCCCTGGGGACGTACCACAGAGTGTCCTACCCAGTCACAGGAGAGCTTTCCAGGAAGAAGTGATGTTTCAGCTGGGTGCACAAGAGTTAGATACTCAGAAAGAGGGCAGTGCAACGAAAGATCCCAAGGTGAGAGAGTCTGGAGCTTCACAAGAATTGAAAATATGCAGAAAGTGTTCAGTTAAGCCCTCACTGCTTGCTTTATTTGAATTAGTTAAGTTTTTGTCTTAATTGGATTGAATGCCTTTAGACAGGGCTTGCAATCTCTAGATTGTCAGAAGCCCTCCACTCGCTGGTGTCTTAGGCAGGGCCCCCTTCATTCCTTGCTGCTGCCTGGCTTCCACTTCAGTCACTTCTGAGGCCTGCCTGGCTCCTCTAGTCATCTGGTTTATAGGCTGGTTAAAGTATATGAATTCAAAAATGTATTTTAATTGTATCATCAATTCTAGCACGTCCTTAAGATAAGTCAGTACATCTGCATATCGGTTTCCCAAACAGCTAGAGACCTATTTCTTGACTGTTTGTGTGAAATATTGAAATATCTTTGATTTTTTAGTAATCCGGAAGGAATTCAAACCTTTCACACTACAGAACTTTGAGATGATAGGAAATATCATTTTTTATAAGGACAGGCTTTTAAACTGTGGAAATGCATTTACTAAAAGATTTTGTGGAATCTCCCATGGAGATTTTTCTACAGTTTTGTTTTTTGTGTTGCTGTTCCTTCAATTTTCAGATGTTAAAATGTTGTGGTCTTTTAACCTGTGGTTAACCTCACTATATCCATCAACTCAGTCTTCCGGGGAGTGTTGTTTTCTCAGTCTTAACTATTTTACTGCTCTTTTTTCAACAGCTCAAAAGTACAGAAAAATTATTTTCATAGGAATTTGACTGTATCCCTCACTAAAGATATTAGAAAAAATATCAACTACACCGAAAGAGGAGTGTTATTCACCGTGAATTCCTGGATCTCGGTGAGAATTTTCTACTTTTAATGGAGAAAGAGGAATATGAGATTTCTTGTGATGATATCTTGTAGGGTCACTGGCTATTTAATCGTTCACTGAAAGTCACTTGGGCATGTGCCAGGCCAGCAAATATCCCTGGCCTCCAAATCTGGATTGTTCCAGAGACTTCCTGAGATGTGAGTCTGGACCTCAGTGGCCTTTGGCGAGTCTGGTGGAGCCCAAGGTGGCCCTGGGCCCCCAGGCCAGTCCTGCTTTGTCCTTAGTGCAAAGTGTGTTGGCAGGATTGTAGGCTCACTATTGCATACGAAATTCATACAGGAGGTCATCTTTTAAGGGCCAGACTCTGCTGGTGGGGATATAAGATGAAAGAGAAATAGACTCTGACTTTTAGAAAATTTCAGTCTAATAGGGGTGATAAATATAAAAATAACCATATGTGAGTAGAATGCAACAAATACCGTGGTGGAGTAGGGGAGTAGTTAGATAGCAAGCATATAAATTTTATCTTGGACGATAGCAGAGAAGGCTTCATGGAGGAGGTGGCATTTGAGTTAGGCCTTGAATAGTGTATAGCATTCATCAGTGAGCATGTGTTTCTGGCAGTGGGTTGGGAAAGTTTCGTGATGTTTGGGAATCTGAGTATTCTTGTCTGCCTGTAACACAGACAAGGGATGCAAGCTACTCTGAGAAGGTGGGGGAGGTAAGCAGGCATTGGACTGTGGGAGGCTGTTAATGTCAGAAGGGTTTAGACAACACTGTGAATGATGCCTCTGGGAGTTGGGCAGGGCCCTACGCAGGGACCACTTCATCGTGTGCAACCTGTGCAGTCACACAGAAGGGCCCCTTAATCACGCTTGGAAGGACCCCATGCTTGGTTTAACGCTCTGCTGGCACTGCCTTAAAATTAACTTTCGAACAAGGGCTCCAGGTTTTCAACAGCATCTTAATTTGGGTGTGGTTTGGAAGATGTTTTGGCATCCTGATGTTCTAGTTCATTCATTTGAAGAAGAAAAAATATATGTATACACAAATAGAAGTATAGTTCTAGATTGAATGGACTTACCGTCTACAAAATTTTAGTCCATAAAAATTATTTTGTGCAGTTATGTTCTACAGGTTGGTACATTGGTACAGACCATCCTGATTTAGTTGGGTTGTGTCCCAGCTAACTCTTTCTTCCCATGCTAGCTCTGACCTCTTGGGCTATAACTGCCTTCCCTCAGTGCATATTGGGGGTAAGGACTTCACTCTTCTAATTGCCTGTTTGAACAGACCTTACTTGTTTATAGGAACTGATGTTTTATTTCTTAGCACTTGTAAAAACTTGTTTTCTTCATGAAAGTCCAAGGCTTTTGACAGGAAACAGTAGCTTTGTCGATTACCCTGTGTGCCTTGATTTGTCTGTAATGACTTTTTCCTTTCAGGATTCCCCCCTATCCTTCATGTACCAGGCTCTGGAGAGGAACATCCAGATAATGTTTCCAGGCAGCTCTCACCAGCCATCGAAGCACATCTCTAGCCCGCTGGCATCTTACTTCTTGTCACTTCCCTATGCGAGGCTTGGTTGGTAGGTATAAGTTTATCTAATTCATGAATGTTTTCATCAGTTTTAATTTCATTCAGCTCTTCAACAAATGTTTTAGATGCCAGCTGTTAGCAACTTATTTTTCCAATCAATTCATCACCAACAAAAACATTGTTAATTTAGCGGTTAAGCTATCATGAAGATGAAACTATCTCCTTAAAATTGGGCCAAATATGTTTACATACTAGGACCTTTCACTTTATTAAAGAATCACAACCAAGTATTTTATGGAATATTTGTAAAGCTTTAATATTCTTGGAGTTATAATGTTACAGATATTTTGGAATCTGATGACGTTACAAGGATAAAAACAGACAGTGACTTTTGGTCTTCCCAGCCCCAACAGAGACATTCGAACCTTTGACTTGGTTTGTCCATCTCTGTAACTGGTAGGACATGGAATCTCCTTTAGAAACGTCCAGTAAACATGTTGGACATTTAATTTTTTTCCCAGAGCAAGGCACCCTATGTAGCTGGGGTAGAAATAAAATGGTATACTTAACACAAGCCTGTCTTTGATCAGGTAACAGATTGAAATGAGCTGAGCCAATCAGAAAGCAGCCTGTGCCATTGGCTGGAGGTGAATTTCAGTTCTCAGGCTGAGCCCAGGATTGTGCTCTGGCTGCTCTGGGTTTGCATATGGGACACGATGCTTTGTGAGGATGCTCTTCATCTGCTCAGGTTAATATGGTCCAGAAATGCCCAGAAGACTCGATTTTTCCAGTTTGTTGTTGTTGTTTTTTTTTTTTTTAAAGATTTTATTTTTTCCTTTTTCTCCCCAAAGCCCCCCGGTACATAGTTGTGTATTCTTCGTTGTGGGTTCTTCCAGTTGTGGCATGTGGGATGCTGCCTCAGCGTGGTCTGATGAGCAGTGCCATGTCCGCGCCCAGGATTCGAACCAACGAAACACTGGGCCGCCTGCAGCGGAGCGCGCGAACTTAACCACTCGGCCACGGGGCCAGCCCCTGTTGTTGTTTTTTCTTGAAGAGCAAGACTGTGAATCACACAAAATAACCTCAGAAGTGAATATTCACAATGGTCATGCAGGATGGAAAAATTTAATGAGAGGAAATTAAAGTGCTGGATTCTAGAAAGGGAAGAAACAGGAGACAGTTTTACCCATGGCTCTCAGTAGGTACTGCAGTGGGTTCCCTCCTCTTCCTACAGGGCAATGACCTCAGCTGACCTCAACCAGGATGGGTATGGGGACCTGGTGGTGGGTGCCCCAGGCTACAGCCGCCCCGGCCACATCCAGATCGGGCGAGTGTACCTCCTCTATGGCAACGACCTGGGCCTGCCCCCCATCGACCTGGACCTGGACCAGGAGGCCCATGGGATCCTGGAGGGCTTCGAGGTGAGGCACCCAGACGATATTTTCCCTTCCAGGGTCAATAAACCACTGCCTGCATTTCATGGCAAATTCTCCAGGATGAATAACCAATAATAAGAATGACAGTAACAGCTGGTGGCCTACATCTGTGCAGCACTTTTCATTTTTAAAAGCATGTTCAGGGGCCGGCCCCATGACCCAGTGGGTAAGTTTGCACGCTCTGCTTCAGCTGCCCAGGGTTTCACTGGTTCGGATCCTGGGCGCAGACATGGCATCGCTCATCAGGCCATGCTGGGGTGGCGTCCCACATAGCAGAGCCAGAGGGAGCTACAACTAGAATATACAACTATGTACTGGGGGGCTTTGGGAGGAGGAGAAGGAAAAAAAAAGGAAGATTGGTAACTGATGTTAGCTCAGGTGCCAATCTTTTTTAAAAAAAACCCATGTTCACTTTATATCTCATTCTATCATTAACTTTGAGTGTTTAGTCTAACACCTTCCGAAAACACACATACGATTTAGAACTGCTTTGTTTAGCCAATCAGGATGTGAGTTCTTAAATACAAAATCTCACTTTATTTTGTTTTTTTAATAAAAATGTTTTATTGTGTAAGAATTTTAGATTCACAGAAAAGTTATAAAGACAGTTCAGAGTGTTCCCATATGCCTTTTACCTGCTGTTCCCCATGTTAACATCTGACGTAATTATGACATACTTTTCAAAATTAAGAAACCAACATTAATACATTGCTGTTAACGAAACTCCAGACTTTGTTCAGATTTCATTCCTTTGTTCTAAGTGGTTATTCATCACCAGAAAAACCTCGCCACGACTGTACAAATGTTCCTCATGGAATCTGAGCGTTCATTCCTCTTGGGAGCACTACTGGAAGGTTTTCCTCCAGGACGTCGTTGGCCTTAGTCCTTACGAGAACAATAAGGAAGGCAGGCAGGGACTGCTACTAGTGACAGATGAGTGTGGGCGCTTTGGTGGCACTGCATGCTCTGCCTATCAAGCACGGGGGGAAGGAACCTTGGATTTTGGGTCAGATCACGGTTCTTGTCCCAGGCAAGCCCCTCTGCCTTAATGCTGTGAAGACAGAATAAGACGGCCTGCACGGACAGACTTTAAGAAAGGAAAAGGTCAGTGGTTTATGGTCTAGTTTAGGCTCCAATGAAAGGAGCCATAAGTCCAAGAGGTATTAATAAGTGGACTGGCCACTGTGGGAGGTCACACAGCCACAGAAGGACAGCATTTCCTGGAACCTGCTGATGCCACATGAGAAAGTTCCAGAATAAATCCACCCATTTCTGTTGCTGCTGTCAGATTGTTGTATAAGGTATAATAATCCTTTGGGCTCCTGTAGACAGGGAATAAGAGGCAGCTGCTTCCTGTGGAAGATAACTCTCTCAAGGTGAGGAAGGCAGTGGCTCCATGCTTTCTTCTCCTTATGATCTTTGATAATTTGGAAGATGATCAGATTAAGGCATGACTAGGGATGGGAATCCTGCACTCTAGCTCTGGTCTGCAATCACCCTTTCTGTGTCCTTGTCTATAAAGTGGAGGATTAAGAGATATCGCAAGCATTTGTCTGCTTTCAAATTCTGTGTTTCTCTGGGAGTGACTGGCTAACACCCAGGAGGGCTTGATGGTGCAGCTGATGGTGATGAAATGAACCCGTCCTCAGTTGGCAGGGGTCCCTACTTATTGGCCCCCACCCTGCCCCTTTGTGTCCTGGAGCAATCCTTTCTTGTTTATCAAGTTCCTGCCTTGTAGAAATGGGCAGTGTTCATAGACGCCATTGCATATGGGTGTAGAGTGATTAGTCAATAAATAATAAATGTGGGTTCTGGGGCATGTGTGTTATGTGGCAAACACCTTGTGCAAGACTATTGATCATTATGTAAGTTGTGAAAGAATAGAAGAACTTAATAAGTCACTTTTAAGTCTAGGCTGATTCTAGACAGTAGAAGAAAGATCTAGAAAATCCACCTTGGTAGAAAATTGTCCCCGAATGGCCTGAGTTTTCCATCTGTAAACCATGAAAGGATAATAAAAATACCTACGTTAATCCATGTCAAGTGCTTAGAACAGTGTCTATAGCAGTGTCATCCAGTAGAACTTTCTATGATGATAGGAATATTCTATACCTGTGCTGTCCAATGCGGGAGCCACTAAGGGCGTTGGCTTTTGAGCATCTGAAATGTGGCTAGTGCAGTTGAACAGCTGAGTTTTAATTTGTTTAAGGTTAATTAGTTTAAATTTAAACATAATAGCCACATTTAGCTACTGGCTACTGCACAGACAGTGCGACTCTGGAACATCCTGAGTACTCAGCGAATGTTAGCAGCTGTTGCTGGTGTTATGCGATTATTATTTCGGATACTTTCCAAGAGGAGTTTGGTTCTTAATGTGGGGCGTACTGAACACTAGACCATTTTCTAAAAACCTACAATTTATAAGAACTGACCTTCTTCTCTCTGGCACCTCGTTTTCCCCTCAAGGCAGACAGACATGCCAAAGATATCCTTAGGGCGGGGCTACTCAACTGGCGTGCAGAGGATGTGTTACAGGTTGCTGCAATTTTGTTCCTCAGCCCTCTGGTGCCAGGTGGGGTCCCCAGGCCTCTCTCCTTCCAGGGAGTCAGGAGTGTTCTTCTGCAGGTTGTGCCTTAGCCCAGGGGAAGTCACTTGTGCCTCTTCAGCCCTCAGGTCGTTTTGGCTCAGCCTTGGCCGTGTTGGACTTTAACCAGGACGGCACGCCTGACCTGGCCGTGGGAGCCCCCTCGGTGGGCTCCGAGAAGCTCACGTACAAAGTAAGGCTGCTGCTGTGGGTGGAGAGGGAACAGACTGGGGGGCGAGGAGCCATGGGAGGGGAGGCCAGTGCTAGCAGAGAGCCAGATGTGCCAGGCAGGGCGTTTGTGGGGAGATGATCTCAGGCCCCCCATTCAGGTTCTTGACATGACCTCAGGTTACCTGGCAGCACCTAGATCCTGGCTCCCTGGCTTCAGTTTGGCCTTACGTTTCCCAGTTCCACCAGGTACTTTACTCTTCCCCCCTCCCACCTCCTCCCCACATGATGCTGAATAATAGTGAGGGGAGAGGGGAGTTCCAGCCAATCCATAGCTTCCTGGCATCACAGCAGAGAGGCGACTTCCCTGGATCTCTCCCTCATGCACAGAACCCACCCTGGTCCCCAGATCCTGGGGCCTGGCCCACAGGGCTCTCTTCCCACGTGTGCTCCATACCATAGCAGGGCACGAGCTTCTGCACACCATGTGTGACAGTGAGGTCAAAGGCCCTTCATTACCCTCCACCCACCACAGGCTCACCTCTTGCCCCTCCCTCCTCACTCACTATTTCTGGACATGCAAAGGATCTGTCATCTCCTTGACCCATCAGACTCTCTCACTTTAGCACATTTGTTCATCCAGCTCGCTCTGCCTGGAAAGCCCTTTCTCCCCTTTTGTTCTTTAGGAGTGACATGTCCCCACATAGCACCCTGTGCTTGCACCTGATAACAGCCCCTTCCACACTGGGATGACATAATCGCCCATTTACCAGGTTTTTGGGAAGACAGAGATTGGTCTTATTTATCATTGTGTACCGAGTCCTTGGCTCATGATGGAAAATAACTGCTTACAGAATGAATGAGGATGGAGATAGGCAAGTTACAAGATAGGAACTGGTTCATAACACAGAATAATAGCACAGCATGTGTCCCAGGCTAACGAATGTACCTACACGGTCTGTTAGCGTTCAGAGGAGTAACGGGCTGGGCCAGAAACCCAGCTGGGCCTTCAAGAGGGGAGGAGTTAAATAATTCATTCTGCAAATATGCTGAACAATTAGGGATGGCAAGTCCTGAGCAAGACGCTGGGGAGGCAAAGATAAAAATAACAGTTTCTGCTTTAGGGGCTCTAATAGTCTGATGGAAGGGACAGATTTAAAAAAAAAAAAGTTTCCACCCAGCAGCAATGCACAGGAGAGGTTTCTCTCACTCACCAAGCTCCTGACCACAGGGGGCTCTGGTGGTGGTTTATTTCATCCTCGGTTGTCTTTGTCTGGCTGTTTAAGGTTCTCGGGTCATCACCCGAGCCTTATGACCACCCTGCGGTTTGTCCTTGCCTAGGGTGCAGTGTACATTTACTTCGGTTCCAAACAAGGAAGAATGTCGTCTTCCCCCAACATCACCATCTCTTGCCAGGTATGTTTACTACCTCGGCCAGGTGCAGAAAAACTAGAACTCCCTGCATCCTAATTGCCTCCAGGGCTGAGTAAAACCTGGTTTCCTCTTAAGGACGTCTACTGCAACTTGGGCTGGACACTCCTGGCTGCAGATGTGAATGGAGACAGCGAGCCCGATCTGGTGATTGGCTCCCCTTTTGCACCAGGTGGCGGGAGACAGAAGGGAATCGTGGCTGCATTTTATTCTGGCCCCAGCCAGAGCAACAAAGGTAGAGCTTGCTGGGGAGAGGGGCGGAGACCTTTGCTGCTCTAGACAGCTGTGGTGACTTCTCACATATGGGTTCATTCCCTATCATTTCATCTACGTTTTCTAACAGTCTCTCACTCTTACAGATGTTCTGGTAAGTGCTAGGACATCACTGAATACACAAAAGGGGATCCAGCCTCTAGATCCAGATCTAAAGGGGGCTCGTAGGTCATTCTCATAGTCTCCCTGGGTAGGAGTAGAAACACTAAAACATCCCAGGGATGCTCTAACGTGTCCAACAAGGCCTCTTTTTAAATAGCATCCTCCACTCCACAGAAGTGAGCTCTAGAAATGTACTTCTCATGTGAAGTGTCAGATCCATTTCTGACGTTGGGGCCCTTGGAACAGCATTGGGGCATCGAAGAGTTCTGGCAAAAACTCAGCAGAATGAACCCGTTTCTCGTTAGCCTCCATAAAGGGCCCACTCTTTCCACTCCAGTAGTCTTCCTATTGTAAAAGGCACCGGTTGTCTTGTGTAGAACAGCTGAATGTGGAGGCAGCCAATTGGATGGTGAGAGGTGAGGACGACTTTGCCTGGCTAGGGTACTCCCTTCACGGTGTCCTTGTGAACAACAAAACTTTGCTGTTGGTTGGGAGCCCGACCTGGAAGAATGCTAGCAGGTGAGTGCTGATGTTGGGGCCCAGGGAGCAATGAGCACAAGGGGCAGGTGCCTACTGCTGTGGGAACCCTTTAAGTGTGGGGTTCAGAGAAAGGGGCTAAGAAATCCTTAAACCCTTCAAGGAAAAGCTTAGGCTCTGGGACAAGTTGCAAGTTCTCCTTAGAAGTATGAAAATGAGAAAGATAGGTGTATTAGTGTGCCAGGGCTGCTGTAACGAAGGTCACCAGACTGGGTGGCTTACACATCAGGAATTTATTTTCTCACTGTTCTGGAGGCTAGAAATTTGACATCAAGCTGTCAGTAGTGTTTGTTTCTCCTGAAGTCTTATTGGCTTGTGGATGGCCGCCTTCTCCCTGAGTCCTCACTAGCCTTTTCTCTGTGTCCCTCCCAGCTATCTTTCTCTCTTCTTCTAAGGACACAAGTCAAATGGAATTAGGGCCCAGCCTAATAACCTCATTTTAACATAATCACCTCTTTAAAGACCTTATCTCCAATACAGTCACATTTTGAGCTACTGGGAGTTGGAACTTCAACGTATGAATTTGGGAGGACAGAGTTCAGTCCATAACAGTAGGCATCCCTGTATTTGCTGTCAATTGGGAGGCAGAATGGTGGGTCTTGTATCTGGAGAACCTTGATGTTGGGATTGACTCTGAAATCTCACCCACTCCTATGCCTAGGATCACAAGGACCAAGAGCATACAGGGAGGGGGACACGGGTTGGGATGAGGTGTGTTGTCTTTCCTTGGACCTGAATACCTGGCCAGCTCTTAATCCTGTGCCCCAGCAGCTGAACCCAGTGTGCTTCATTCCAGTCTGGGCCATTTGTTCCGCACTCGTGATGAGAAACAGAGCCTCGGAAGGGTGTATGGCTATTTCCCACCAAATTGCCAAAGCTGGTTTACCATTTCTGGAGACAAGGTATGGCAGTCCCTTCCCTTCCCAGGAGAGTGGCACCACAAAATTTTCTTAGCTGTTCTATATTGATTTATTGTATTTCACAGGCAATGGGGAAACTGGGTACTTCCCTGTCAAGTGGCCACATAATGGTGAATGGGACCCGGACACAAGTGCTGCTGGTTGGAGCCCCAACTCATGGTAGGTCATGCATCATGAAACTCTCCTTCTTCTAAGTCATGTGGCTCCTTGACCATGTCATATGGGGGGAAAGTTATGAGATCTGGAGCCAGACAGACCTGACTTTGTATATTTCCTTTTCTCATTGATGTTGGGGAGTTACTTACATCCCTGGACATTAGTATCATCATCTGCAAAATACAGATTATAATAACCACCTCAAATCACATGTGGGAGTAACTTGGTGTGTTTTTAAAGCTCCTATCCCACTGAGCTTGGGGCTAGAGACTCTAGAGTTCAGCAAAGTTTATAAATCAGTTCACCAGGCCTAGGTCCACTCTGAGGGCATATGTTAAACCATTATTTTGATTATGGAAAAGAGTTAAAAAAAAAAACCCCAAACAAACAAAAGTCTACTCCCTCCAAGATAATAAAAGTGAATCATGTTTATCGTAGAAATTTGTGAAAATACAAGGAAGGATATAGAAGGAAAAAAAGTCACCCTTACCCAGATATTTAAAAACTTAAGCTCAGACTATATAATTTTCACACCTGATTTTTTATTTTATGCCTTGAGTATGTTCTCACGTTATTAAATATTCTTCTAAAACATTTTTGATACTGGTATCACATTTTTTCCATATGCCTATGCTAACATTTACTAACATCATCCTATTGCTGGAAATTTAGGTTGTTTCCACTTTTTCACTATTGTGAATAAGCTATCATTAAACATCCACGCACAGAAATCTTTGACTGCCTTCCTGATTAGTTTTTTTAGATTCCTGCAGGTGGAATTCTGGACCAAGAGGGTCTAATCTTTTTTAAGGCTCTTATTACATATTGTTAAGTTACTTTTCAGAAAGATTTTTGTTTCATACAATATTTTTGCATAATAAGCAGAAGTGGGTTGGGCAGAGGAATGGCTAAATTTTTCATTGTATGAAATCACAGCGTTATAACATCAAGAACTTGCTGACTTCGCTTTAGAATAGGTTTTCTTTTTGCTTTCACAGAGTCTAGGTACTGCTTTCTAAACTCTTTCCACACATATTACTGATTTTATTTGCCTCACCATTCTTTCTACTGGAGTGCTGTGAATTGGAGCTTCCCAAACTTTCTTGGTTTTGGTGCCCTTACTGTGTCAGGAATTTTCTCTGTATTATAAAATATTATATAAAATATAAAATAAAAATGTTAATTTATATATAATAACCTATATATAAAATGACCTTTTTGAGATAGTTATAAATTCACATACAGTTGTAAGAAATAATACAGAGAGTCCATGTAACATTTTATCCAATTTTCCCCAGCGATATTATCTTGCAAACCATAACAGTGTCACAACCAGGTTATTGACATTGATACAATTCACTAATCTTGTTCAAATTTTCCCATTTTTATGTGTATTTTGCTTGTAGTTAACCCACATAGTTTGTGGGGCCCAGTACAAAACAAAATGCAGAGCATTTTGTTAAAAAATTATTCTGCATCTCAAGTCAGTGACAGGAGGGCATTAAGCCAAGCACGGGGCCCTGTGCAACTGAACTGGTCGCACATGCTGTATTGATGTCCTAACATCCTAGCTCCTCTGGGCACTGTACAACTTCTCAAACTTCTCAAATCAGATTAGACACCGTGACCCTCATTTCCAATACGCAATGATTTTCTCGTGGTGCCTGCACTTTACCGCAACAACTCCCCAACCCCAGTTTTGCAAAGATATGACATCATTGAAAGGAATGTGGGGACGCAAAGTTGACACTGTGAACTGGCTCCAGCAGTGGTCCATGCGACGTCAGACAGATGTCATTGTGTTACCTTTGAGATTCAAATTATCTGCAGCATCCTCATGAGTTCACTGGAGCGCCGTCATGTGCAATGTGGGAATTACAGTTCTATGCTACAGATTAGCCAACAGCTGAGAAATCTGATCGACTTTCAGGGAGCCCCTGAGGGTGGCAGTCTGGGGTTTGAGTATGTCAGTCCGTCCCTCTCTCCCTGTCCCCCGTCTCTGGCTCAGAAACTTTGGGTCAGACTATGGCCAACATACACAATGGTTTAAGTGTTTAGTGGGGATTTTAGGGTGCTAATAACTGCAAAGTACTTCAGGATGAAAAAGTTAGTACTCGGTGATGGCAAGGGTGAAGTGAGGTGGGCACTCATGCATCGCTGTGAAACATAAACTGATAAACCTTTTCTAGAAAGAGGTTTGGCAAATGGCAAGGGCCCTAAAAATACTCATTCCCTTGGATGCTCTATGGACCACTTCTCGGAGTCTCTTCTCATAGAATATTCAGAACTGTGGGGAAGGATATTTATCATAGTATTATATGAGCAAAAAGTCAGAAATGGCCTAAATGTAAGAAGAATATACAATTTCATAATCTGCAAAAATCTCCATTTTGCTTAAAGTATGTGTGTGTATACATATGTATGTATGTATATATATGTATATATATATATATCACTCTCTCTCCAGGAAAAAATACTCCTTTTTTTGTTATTTTCCACACCTTGTATAATCACATTTAAAAAATTTCTGGGGCTGGCCCAGTGGTGCCAGTTAAGTGCACACATTCCGCTTCGGTCGCCTGGGGTTTGCCAGTTCAGATCCTGGGTGCGGACATGGCACCACTTGTCAAGCCATGCTGTGGTAGGCGTCCCACATATAAAGTAGAGAAAGATGGGCACGGATGTTAGCTCAGGGCCAGTCTTCCTCAGAAAAAAGAGGATCGGCAGCAGATGTTAGGTCAGGGCTAATCTTCCTCAAAAAAAAGAAAAATCTTGGCATTCCTAAGTTTGACTATTACACAGTAATCCTGAAAGTTAAGTAGCTTAGAGTTTATAGTTTTTCTGAGTTGCAAGTGTGAACCGCACTGCAAGGCAGTGTCCTCCCTCCCTTGGCTCGGGAGGGAGTCCGGCTAGTGAGGCACCTGTGTTTTACAAGAGCTCTGTTGGTTCCTGCTGCCACTCTAAGTACAGGTACTCTTGAGAAGTAATTAAAACTCTTATGTGTATGTTCAAAAAAATCCCCAAAGAAAACCCCAAAGGCTAGTGCTGATGATGGAAATGAAGACAAAGTTGAGGTCTTAAAAGAATGGTCTTTAGCTGGAAAGTATAAGCATTATGGAAGGAATTCTGTGTTATAGTGCATTCTAGGATTTGGGAATTTGTAAAGGCCTCAGGATATAGCCTTTTTAAAAACCAAGGGTCTGCTGAATTACTTTTATTACTCAAATAACAGATAAAGAAATGCTAAAGCATTAACTTGGGGTTTTTTTCTTAATTGTCTACAATGATAATCCATTGTTTAATCTGCATCATCAGGGAAATGAGGTGTTTTGAATGGCTGAAATTTAAGCATCTGAAATTTAAGCACCCTCCCTTTTTTTTTTGAGACTTTTTTTTAGAGCTGTTTCAGGTTAAAAGCAAACTTGCGTGGAAAGTATAGAGATTTCCCACGTACCCCCTTGCCCTGACACACGTCCTGCCTCCCCCACTACAGACCTTCTGCACCAGAGTGGTGCATTTGTAACAATCAATGAACCTACGTTGACACATCACTATAACCCAAAGTCTGTAGTTTTCATTAGGATTCACTTTTTGTGCTCCACATTCTGTTGGTTTGGACAAATGGACAATGACATGTATCCATCAATAGAGTATCATACAGAATAGTTTCACTGCCCTAAATATCCTCTCTGCTTTGCCTGTTCATCCCTTCCTCCCCGACAACCCCCGGTGACCACTGATCTTTTCACTGTCTCCGTAGTGTTGCCTCTTCCAGAATGTCATCTAGTTGGAACCATACAGAATGTGGCCTTTTCAGATTGGCTTCTTTCGCTTAGTAATATGCATTTATGTTTCCTTCATATCTTCATGTCTTGATAACTCATTTCCTTTTAATCCTTTCTTTTTAAACTGAGAATTTAAAGCAAAATTTTGATGAAATTATTCTAAATTATGTATCCTACTTTAATAGACAGTGATGAATATTAGAGGTTTGGGAGTGATAATTAATCACTTTTCCCCATCTTTGTGCATTTGAAGCCATTTGAGAAGCAGACTTACGAATCATTCAGATAGCAAAATATGCGTCTTTTACAAACTGGACAGGAGAACACGGTCTAGACGGGCAGCTGCATTTGGCTTCCCAGTGCTTGCCCAACGCGACCTCGGGGTGACTTCCTGAGGGAGAGTTTGCGTCTGCATGGCACATGTACACGTGTCAAGGCCCGGTAGCAGTGGCAGAGAGATGTGGACTCAGGCCTGCATCTGGAAAGCAGACCTGGCGGAGCCCATGTGCGCTCCCACATGAAGCAGAACCAGCACCGATGAGCCCATCCTGCAGGCAGGCAGAGCCAGAGGGAGAAGCCCCCGTCCCACTCCTCCCTGGGGCAAGATGGGGACAGGGAGTGGATTGAGAGCTCCTAGTTTTACTATATTCCTGGTCACTCCAGGGAGGTCAAGTTCCCTCAAGGAAGCATGAGAAAAAGGGAATAAGGATTTTCTCTCATTTCAATTTCTCTTGATATTTGGGGCTTTGACCCTGAATATTAATGACTATGCTTTATTAAAACATTGTTCTCTTGGGGGCTGTCGTGTTAGATGATGTTCTTTATCCTTATGTTACTGAGCCTCAGAATCCCAAGCTTTTTAAAGTACTGTTTCTTGTTTCCTAGCTTTTATTTCTGATTACTATTGCTGGCTCTGCTTTGAGCTCTCAGTTGCTTCTACTTGATGATCAGCTGTAACCAAGGGCACGGGGGGAAGGTCGTCCAAGAAAAGAGTCAAATCAGTAACCTTAGTTTTACACACGATATAGGCAGACACTGATGCGAGATTGTATCCACACTTCCTGGTTCACAGTAAGCCTCTCAGAGGACCATCAACCCCAACCCAAGGATGCCATTACATTTTTTGGAAAAGGTACCCATTTCTGATATCAAGGCTGTGTTCCAAAGGATTAAGTCTATGGGCAAAGATCTAGCTTTGTTGTTTAATTGTTCAAAATTTGCTGATTCAAAAAACACTTATGTAGTACTTGTACTTAAACCAAGCAATGCACTACTAAGCACACTGTGCTACTGAGCCACGGTCCCATCACTTATGGAATTGACAGCCTGATGCAGGAGACACACGAGTGAACAGAAAACGATGCTACCCTGCAATGGGTCCTAGGCAGGCAGTGGGCAGTGTGAGCGGCACCTACTCTAGACCAACGAGGTAAGGAAAGGCCTTCCAGCGGAGGGCACACCTGAGCCAGCTTCTGGAGGAGCAGGAGTTAGCAGCCAGAGGGGTGTGAACAGAAGAGTGAGTGGGTTGGGGGAAGGGGTGTCCATTCCAGGCAGATAACACATCGTGTTCAAAGGCCCGAATGTAAGAAATGTAATGGACTGCGGCTTAAATTCGTTATGGGTGAAGTACAAGTGAAGAGGGAGAAGTGGCCCCAAACAATGCTAGAGCCACAAGCAGGAGTCAGAATTCTGTAAGGTCTTGTGAGCCTATATAAGGCCTTGCAAAGAATCTGGACGTTCTCCAAAGGGTTGTAAGTCAGGAGAGTGATGGATGCAGTTTGCATGTAAAAAAAAAAACAAGATAGTTGTGGAGAATGTATTGGAGGGAGTAAGACCAGAAGAAGGAACACCTGTCTGATGGGCTATCACTGAGCTTACCCAGCATTTGGGTCTTGGTGCCCAAGTTGGCTGTACCTTCTTAATGACCAGAATTGACCAGCACTAAAACCATCTGTCCTGTGGGGTTCTGAGTGGTCTGCATCACTGGTGGTGTAGAAACAAGAAGCAAGAACAGGACTCTGTTCAGTTCCTGACATCCTATCTTCACTCTTGCGATGGCAGCAGGTACTATACCACAGTTTATTTCAGATGATGTGTCTAAAATGGCATTCCTGACCATGACCTTGCACCAAGGGGGAACCACTCGGATGTATGAGCTGACACTTGACTCACAGCCTTCTCTGCTCAGCACCTTCAGTGGAGACCGCCGCTTCTCTCGATTTGGTGGAGTTCTGCACTTGAGTGACCTGGATAATGATGGCTTAGGTAGGTAAGGAAAAGTGCCTTTGGCCAAGAAGAATGAGTCCCTTTGACTAATAAACTAACTAGTCCCCTAATTGGGTCATCTAGGCTCTGCCCTCATAATTGACAGCCCAGTGGCCCAAGGGCATTTAGATATATTTGGAGTCAGCTAAGACCAGAGCTGGATGTACAAGAGTGAGTTGAACTTCCTGCAGGTGGTAACGTGAGAGTCATCCACATCAATTGTTATTGATGCGTGATGAAACAGGAAAGAGACGGCGGTGACTGTGTCAGGATGAAATCAGGGTAAAGGATGCACTAATAATGTTTGTGGGAGGGTGGGTTTGGATCCAGTAGTGGAACAATGGAAAGGATGACATTGAAGAGTTAGACACTCGCTTCTGCTAGTTTTAATTGTTCACAGATGAAATCATCATGGCGGCCCCACTGAGGATAGCAGATTTAACCTCTGGACTCATTGGGGGAGAAGATGGCCGCATTTATGTATACAATGGCAAACAGACCACCTTTGGCGACATGACCGGCAAATGCAAGTCATGGATAGCTCCATGTCCAGAAGAAAAGGTAAAATGTTCTCATACAAAATTCTATACCATATTGGGAAAGGTCAGCTGCTTGCTGATTCCTTTTTAAATTGTGTCCCCGGTAGAACTCTGACAGTTTTTACCTGAACTCAGAGTCCTGGGGTCAGGACACAGTCACCCACCTGTGTTTTGCAGGCCCAAGCTGCCTGCATTCTTGCAGTTCTGCCACGTTTGTCCCCATAGCTGAAGTCCAGGTGGACTTGCTGTCACACTGGTCCTTGCTCACAGCCTGCCACTGCTCGGTTAGGAACCCTAGCAGAAGGAAACAGGCCATGGCCATTGGAGTGTCACTAAAACTCCTACTCTCGTTTCCTGTTTTATTACTTTGCTTTACTCCTTTTCTCAGGTGGGTTTCCTTAAGTTTCCTGGGCCTAGAACACTTGGCTGTTTTTATTTTTAAATTAAAATATTATTTTTAAATTGCAAAATTAATGAAAGTTTATTGTAAAAATTTTAGAAAATACAAAACAGTACAAAGAAGAAAATCAAAAATCATCTACCTAGAATTCCACTCCGCAGAGTGCCTGTTAACCTTTTGATGTGCATCCTTCTAGGTTTTTCTCTAAGAAATTAATTGCTACCATTTATTGTGCATTTACTCTGTGCCTAGTACTATGCTAAGCACTTTATATATATATAAATATAATCTCCACATCAAAGCTGTTAAGTTGGTATTATGCCTGTTTATTGATCAAGAAATTGAAGATCAGAGGAAGCTGTTCTAGGTCACGCTGCGAAAGGAAATGGCAGAACAGGGACTTGAACCAAAAGCTGATTCTAAAGCGTACTCTTAACGATTAAACTATGTGTGTGTATATATTTTTAACAATTGTGATCATATTGCACATGATTTTGTGCACAATTTTGTAACCTGATTTTGTTTTACCTACCAATAACATCTTTCTATGCTTTCCTATATTCTTATACAATATATTTACTGGCTGCCTAGTGTTTTATCTGTAGATAAACCATAGTTTACTGAACCATTACTTAATTGACTATTATTAGTCACTTTGTCCATTTCCAATTTTCAGTTATAAATGATATTTACATGTCAACATTTTTATACATCTGTGTTTCTGAGCTAAATTCCTATAAGTGAAATTTCTGGAGTCAAAAGGCATGCACTTTTCTAGAAATGTAGAAATGTGAATGTAAGGGCGTAATTAAAATTGGTTAAAAAAACTCACATGAATGGAAATAATATTAACAGTCTCCCCTTCTCACCATTTTCTTTCTTTCAGGCCCAATACGTATTGATTTCTCCTGAAGTAAGTGCCTCCTGAAGGAATGAAGGAAGAAAAACTACAAAAATTGCCTTTTCCCCTTATTTTAAACTGATAAAATATTATGGTATGTCTCAAAGAGCCATTAACAGACAATGAACGTGTCTTACAGGCAGGCTCAAGGTTTGGGAGCTCTGTGATCACCGTGAGATCAAAGGAAAAGGTGAGTAGGGAGACGGTCCTCCTTTGATATTTCTATTTGTCCTAAGGCTGGGGATTTGGCGATGGTCTCATTTTGTTTATATTAGATTTTCTTTTTATTTGGAAAATACAGGAACACCAAAAACATAGTAACATTCACACACAATCCCATCACTTTTTTGGTGAAAAGTTCCCCTCTCTCCCCCTCCAACTTCATCCTCTACAGCAGGGGTTGGCAAATTACAGCTGTGGAGTGCCGCCTGATTTTGAACAGCCCATGAACTAAAAATGATTACATGTTTAAATGGCTAATAAAAGAGAAAGGAGACTATTGTGTGACACAGGAATTTTATATGAAGTTCAAATTTCAGTGTCCATAAATAAAGTTTTATTGGAACATAAAACTTCTTTGTTCATTTCTTTCTGGCTGCTGTTGTTACAAGGGCAAGTGATTAGGTACTTCAGAGACTGATGTCTCTGAAAGCCTAAAATATTATTTTGGCTCTTTCACAGAAAGTTTGCTGACCCTTGCCATATTAGATAACCATTGTTAATATTTCGGTGTGTTTTCTTCCAGACTGGGCTTTTGTCTGACTCGAGACAGATAAACATATAAAGACACATTTCCTCTTGTCATTATTTCACTCTCATGTACTATATTATGCTTCTTCCCAGACAAATACATATGGAGCCATCTGATTCTTTTTAATGGCTGCATAGTATTTTATTGTCTGGATGCACCATATTTTATTTCCTTGGTTCACATTCCCATTGCCATTTACTCATAGTTATTTCCAACTTTTTTTCTTATTACAGACAATGCCATAGTGAACATTCTTGCATCTGTATCTTTATATAATTGTGCAAATATTCCTGTAGGTGAAATTCTTGGAAGATTGCTAGATCAAAGTGTGTGCACCTTTTAAATTTTGATACAGAAGGTTAAAGGGTTTTATCTTAAAATGTACTGCTAAGCCACTGATTCCATTCATTCATTTTAGGATATGGTATCACAGAACTGTGCTAGGCTGTGAGAGTTATAATGAGCAAGAAGACAAAGTCCCTGCTCTTGAGGAAAAATAAGATTTATATACATGAGAAGTTAAATAAAATGCAAATCAGTATAGCATTAAATGCTAAAGAGTAGTGTGAACACTAAATATTAACTGCGGGATGAAGGGCTGGGGAAACCTTCATGGTTTAGAGTATACACAGCTCAGGTCTGTAAGACACGATGCTGCGCAGACCCAGCTCCGGCTTATGAGAACTTTGGTGAAACTGCCCTCTAGTGGCGAAGACATCAAGTGGCCCTTGCTTTAACTCATTTTATAGGCGAGCCTGACAGCAAAAATTTAGGGTTAACCACAACAAAAAAAGATGGATTATTAAGTTTATGGGAGGATTCTCAAAAGGTCTAGTCACAGAAATGCTTTATATCATAAGCTTGGCTTGCATTTAAAATTTTATTCGTTTTCCAAAAATTGGATATTATCAGGAACCCATGTATTATACAAAAATTATTCATTTCAGGGGCTGGCCTGGTGATATAGTGGTTAAGTTCATGCAGTCCACTTTGGCAGCCTGGGTTTGCAGGTTCCGACCTACACACTGCTCATCAAGCCATGCTGTGGTGGCATACCACATACAAAGTAGAGGAAGATTGGCACAGATGTTGTTAGCTCAGTGACAATCTTCTCAAGCAAAAAGAGTAAGATTGGCAATAGATGTTAGCTCAGGGCCAATCCGCTTTACCAAAAAAATAAAATAAATTATAGATTTCAACCATTATTTATACCAACTGAGGAGAGTTGCATAGATCATCTAAAACTAATTTATATTTGATTCCTTTCTGTACAAAACTGCAAATTCACCTTCCTAATTATCATTCATTTGGGTCAACAGTAAAATTATTTCACTTTCTCAACATACAGCTGAGATTGGGGGCACTGAAGCACTCTGAGTGTAAAGATAAATCAGAGGTCATATATATTTAAAAAATGGACACAATCTGAGGTGATCACGGTCTTTTACTGAGACTTGAGTAAAAGCTGTGATCTTTAAGATTGCTTTTCCTTTCTATATGTGAGCATTAAGTAATGAAGTTGATACTAACAGACGGGTGCTGCTACCGTGTGTATTCTGAAGCCTCTTGTGGGGCTGCCTTCAGTCAGCTCAAGCGCTCTGACAAGGCAGTTAACTGATGAGCGTGTGTTATAAACAGTATTACAGGGCATAAGAGAAGGAAGACATGGTCCCTGCCCCCAGGTGCTTATGGTCTTGGTGGAAAAGCAAGACAGGACCCTAAGACCCCCCTGGTCAACATATGATGATGAAGAACCAAGGGCCCTCAGACAGCAACTGCAGCTGAGTCTAAGCTGGTGGAGTCAGGAAGGACCCCTGGGGCCAGAGCTGCATCTGGGAAGATGAGTCCACTGATTACGCAGAGAGAGGGCAGGAAGCAAGGGAAGACATGATTTTAGGAATGAATATGGTTTAACCAGGAAATGGAGAGGAGACTTGGGTCACAGCCAAACTAGAGGCAAACTTAGTAAATTAATAACTCCATAAATAAGAGGGAGGCAGGACTAGACTTTTCCTTTTAATTGACACTGGGGTATAAAAAATACAAGCAAAGGGCTGAGCGCAGTAGCTGACACATGGTAAAGGGTTGGTAAATGCTAGCCGTTATTTCTGGATTCCATCTGTAGTTTTCGCAATTAAGTCACTGAGGAACTATTTTCACAGGTCTGGTTGTTTCCTGGTCACACCCTGCTCTGACCAAAACACCATCAGCCAGTTTGGTCACCCACATCTCGTTTACCAGCCTTGGTTCAGAATAACTTTTGGCAGTTTCCGAAAACCAAATCCAACCTCAAAGTATGTAGCTTTGCCCCCAATGAAAATGTTTAAAAACCTGTAGCAGGCTTTGAAGGCAATTCTGAAAGATGGTTCCTAAAGTTTCAAGCAGCAGAGGCGGCAGGAGGTGGCGGAAACACACGCACAAAGGCAGCCCCTTGTGGAAGTCCTCCTTATCCCAGATATGCTGTCTGCACTGTACCACAACTAGAATTTGGGAACAAACATGCACCGATGTACTTTTCCTTTATCCTTTATGTACTAGAGAAGGGACTGGAGTGACCATCCTCAGCTGCAGTATTCTGAACCTATAGATCTGAGAAAGTGGTATTTAAACAAAGGGAAAGAGGCATTTAACCTCAAGCCCTGGGGTCTGGCCAATGTCTTATTCATGTTTCTATCTCCAGAGCAAAACACGCTGCCTGGACTGCAGCAGGGACTTAAGAGATGCTATTAATGAATAACGAATTCTGTCTGTTTTGTGTCCTCTACAGAACCAAGTTGTCATTGCTGCTGGAAGGAGTTCTTTGGGAGCCAGACTCTCGGGGGCGCTTCATATCTATAGCCTTGGTTTAGATTAAAGATTTCACTTGGCTTTCCTAACCTGCCCTGCCCTCTCTCATGCCTAGTCATCTCCAGGGTGAGCCTTCTGGTAGAGAAAGTGACACATCCAGCAGAGCCTTGCTCCATCCTACTAGATAGAGGGTGGTTCCCGAGAGTGGAGACACACATGCTAACAGCCAGACTATCTGGAAATACAGTAAATTATGACCACATCAGAAGTATGCTTCCCAAGTTCGCTTCCTTTGCATCTAAACCTTTCTTCTTGCCTAACTTACCGCCTGTGCTCAGCCCTGCTGTACAACCACTTCCTCTCCCACGGGAACACCTATGTCTTTCTGATGCCTGGAGAGGCTTCACTGTGCTTACCTCTTAGGAAAACCTCTGTACACAATTCTCCTAAAAATGTCCTTTTAAAATTGGTGATCCATTCCAATCAAAGTGAATAGAAAGCATGTTACACAGGAGAAAAAAATTGGAGAACAGTACAGTGAGGAGAAAAGTATGGGAGGGATACCCTCACAACTGCAAAATCCCTTGTTGTGAATGATTTGGCCCTGGCTTAATGAGGATTATTACATTTCCAATGTTTCATATGGTGAAGGGCAAAGAGAAGAACTAAAACCCTATCACCTTTCTTTCTGTGCCCTCCAACGCTTTTGTAGAAGTGGCTGTTGTAACAGCTGACAAACCTAGTGACTCTCCACTAGTTCTGTCATCCACGAGGAGCCTGTGTTGCATTAGGGTGGCGCATGTTGTGCCAACAGAACTAGCGCAGAAAGGAGAGATCTGGCCTAAGACAAAGGGACTGGGTAAGGGAGGGACCGCGAGGAGTGACGCAGGCCGCGGCTTCTCTCGTTCCTGGGCTGGTTCTGGGAGGTGGATGTCACCTGCCAGCCCTGCAGTGCGGCGTATAGGGGAAAGGAATGGACTGCAGTGTTTCAGCTTCACTAAGAATCTGCAGGCATTATTATCTGGAAACAGTACGTAGTTGATTCTGTATCAATCGGGGAAAAACCTCTTTCTTCTGACACTAGTGAAATGATACTAAAAGCAGGAGAAAATAACAGACAATGAGAACCCTTCTCAGCTTCTCCAGAGGCAGAGTAGAGACTGGTCAAAGGAGACAGGAATCCAGCTGAAGAGTAAGGTTAAATAAGAAATCAAGAGAAAGCTACTAGAGTTAGAACTGTGAGCATAAGGTGAGTATACATAGGAGAAGATACCAGGCACAGGCCTAGCGAGCACCCCCTGACCACTCCCAGGACGGCCTCATCTTTCTTACAGAGGTATGCTAGCTGCACAGTTCCCTATGGCACAGCAAAAAGTACACAGAAACACCTTGGTCTTGTTTGGGTAACAATTATTGACAGCTCAAGCTATTTGAAGAATTATTTTTAACTAACAGGATGTTTATTTTTAGGGGACCAGAAATTACTTAGCTGTACTCACTTATGAGTTGAGAAGTCAGAGTATAGAACAAACTGACACTGCATTTCAGTAAAGGCGTGTTTCTCTCAGGACGGATCTCTTCATGAGGATGCATACTTTCGTACTGCCATTACTATGGAAACTGTCTGTTATTGTGCTTCACTAAACGACAGGGCCTATGTTTAAACTGATGATTATTTACCTGAGGATTTATATTTTTCTAAATGCTTGAACATACAAGACAGCAAGCACCAGGTGGAGAAGGTTAAAATCTCTACATGCAGGACATTTAACCATACTAACCTCATATTCAAAAATGATGTAAACTGTACCCCTACTGTTCAAAGTCAACCTATACGGCAAATATGTAAAACTCTGGCATCCAAAAGACCAATAGATGATAGTGTAATGTCTCATTCCCATAGCTGGATTAAATTTCCACTCCCCTAAGTATTAACTGTGGTTGTAAGCACTGATTCTGAAATGCTTAATAACAAAAATGGGAATATCGTGTAGGGTTGTAATCTCAGTAACACAAATCTGAAGTTAATACAGTCTAACTCAAAATTATCTTTACTTCAAGATATCAGAACACATTTACATACTTACAAGTTTTGTCTTTCAATTATCTGTATATGTAACAACTTTCTTCAAAACTTTAAGATGAGAATTGTTTTATGCCTTTGTATCACAGACCCAAGAGACTAATTATGATTTGCAGTGAGTCTGGAAATAATCTCAGGTCTCTATTCCCTATTCCACGCACCACCATTGGACCACCTCCATAGATAAAACGAAAGGAAAGAAAGCAAATCCTAAATGTAAAGTGAGTTTAATATTGCAATTTCAAAAAACAAACATTGTGTACAACTCAAAGTAATTCACCAAAATAAACAGCTTTTTACTATGAAATTGTTTTAGTGGTCATCAGTCTATATTTATCAAGAATAAAGCAAGTGTTAATAGCATCCTAAAATGACACTCTTCTGCCACATTTTCTTAGAGGTGTTCCAAAGACCAAGCCCGTTAAGAGTGCCACTCCCTGTACTCACTTGTACGTGTTAAACGGGATATGCTTGCCTACTCACATAACCGAGAGTTTGTATTCTACCACTTCACTTTCAAACAGTTTATGTGCTCAGGCTATTTAAAACCGCTGATGTTCCTATTTTTTTGGCATAGTCTGTTTCATCATTTAAGAGAACCTTAATGTAGGATGCACCCTGCTATCACCAAAGCAGAGCAGGTGGACATTTTGAGACCATACTTGATCTAACCACCTTTAAGAGTTTTATAAATGATCAATAACTTCCCTTTATCAGACTTATGAGGTAGCTGCATTTACTTTCCCTTTTCTGGATGAGACATGACTCGTCAAAAAAATTATTTTATTCAAGCCCATAAACTATGTCAGTACCACTACAAGGAAAAATGACCAAAAGTCTATCCTAGGCCTGATCTCAGTCAAATAAAATTTTGCCCTCTGGGCTTCCAATTCTTCCTATGTCACAATTAAGTAATATTTATTACCTGTTTTACAGTGATAACATATGACCAAAAATAGCAGAGTGCTTTGAGGTGTGTGTGCCAAAGAAGAGTGCCCTGTGAAATTAAGTATTATCAAAGGTACTTGATCTTGAAAATCATCACACAGATTATGATGCTAGAGTGCTGTGTGTTCACATTCTGACAGCCACAGATGAAGTGTGCTCCTGACCCAGAGGTGCCAAGTGGGCCATTTGGTACCCAAGACAAGCCTGGCCTGTTTCTGCCATTCTACTCTCCAGCTTCCCTCTAATGGCTGCTCACAACCACACACGGGAGCGGGGAAAACTTCACTTGTAACTGCATTTGTTTCCTTTCAAATCAGCTGCTGGAATAGCATTTTTATTCCTAGCACCAAACCACTTGGGAAACAGACCCCAAACTTCCCCGTATGACATCTTAGGGTATGCACGTTCTTTAATTATTACATTGGTAGTGCAAGAGCTGCTCTGGAAACTCTGGAATTGTTCACGTATGCTACTTTTGGTGGCAAGTATAACTGTAATGTTCTACTGCATAACTGTATTTAACCTCCAGAAAATATAAAAAAAAGTGGTTAAGATGTCAAGTAGGATAGCAGCTTAGAGACTTACAAATATTAGCCATTTGTCTTAAACCCCAATCTGATTGTGAACACAAAAAGGATCACAATTTTGAAGTTTACCTAACTCTCTTGTTTTAGGAAGTCCAGTGGTGAACTTTTGAGGTGCTGGACTACACACATTTTCCTTTTTGCGGGGTGGCTGGGGTGACACATCCATCTCTCTAAAAATCAGAGAATGACCCAAGCAGCTATAGAACAGGAGTAGAATGGAAACATTTCCTTTCAGCACTACTTCCAAAGCCTTTAATCATAGCCAAGCGAAGAAAAACAGTTTCAGGGGCTGAGAAAGTGAAATCTTGATTACTTGGAATCCATATAAAGCTGATGTTAAATTATCATTTCCTTCTTTTCATTCACCTTATATAAAAAGGGGGCAAATACAAGAAAATAAGGTTATATCAAGGAGTGATTTAAAGCACAAACTTCCAGAGTTCGTTTTAAAGTTAATATATATTTTGCTAGCTTTTCAGTCACCCGAAAGTGAGGGAATTCAAAAGAACATGATTCCCTGTACTGACTAAAAACTACGGCTACCTGATCACGTAACTGTGGATTTGTCAAGTTTCCAGGCTTCATTCGGCATGAAATCGCACTTTTCTTGATACATATAAATTAAATAAAATCTATACAACAATCCATTCTTTTGTTAAGTTAATCACTCTATGCCTCACATTATGTCTATAAAAATAGCTTTTTCAGTTTGTAGGAAATAGTTTTGGCTTTTTACAAAGCAAGCACCTTGCTTCTTTACTCAGAATTCTGAAAATGCAATTAAGTTCCAGTATTGTGACTGCCATAGTATTTTTTACCACCAGACATTATAATTTACATATCAGTGATTTTTTTCAAGACTCTGACTCTACAAAAGAAAGTAATAAAAGAGTATCACAAGTTTACTGTGACTACCATAAAAAACAATTCAGTTTCCATGGGGTTGTTCCTAACGGTTTGCGAGGAGGTTCCTGCTTGATGCAAGTCCATCGGGCCTGAAGCTGTGTTTCACTTCCATCCTCCTATCTGCCTGAAGGGTCTTTTTAGGTAAAGAGGCCACCTAAGTAAAGCAGGAAAATTAATTTTAGTTTGTGTCTTTCTTAAAAGAAAAGCCACTAATAAAATGATATATTATGTAACTATCAATGAGGGAAGGCCTGCCAGCCATGTGTCAGTGTCTAAAGTACTTATTCCAGTGTGCAGACTATGAGTGGAAAGAGAAGAAAAGGGAGGCAAACTTCCTATCTTAATGAGAACACTACATTTTCTACATTTCAATTCTGGTTATGACAAAGCCTGCGCCAGAATTACTAATATCTCTCTAAATGTATAATGCTCGCCACAGTGTTCCACACAAAATAAATTATTTCTAAGCTCTTTACTGTGCCAGGCACTGTGCTAAGTGCCTGATGCACATTATCTTATTTAATTCTCCCATTAACACTATGAAGCAGGTGGTAATGACTTAACTGACAGATGGGGAAAACTGAGGGAGGCTGTGAAAAATTAAATGACAGGGTCACAAAGCCTGTGACAACTTGTGCCCAGGTTGTCTGACATCAGAACCGAAGACTGTGACCACCCTACTACACTGCTGTGAACCGGACCCCTCATACCATGGGGGGCAAAGGAGCCTCAAGTTGTCGTCCAAGGAATGACAGCAAACGCCTCCAGATCAGGCCACTTCCCATGAACATGATTCCTGTAATCAGCCAAAATACTCTATGGTCCTAAAGAAGAACACAGTTAATTTCAATCACGAAAGGCTAGGTTCCTTACAGATGAAATTTCCTCAATTATTATTGCCCCAAAGTCTAAAAGAAGCCTTTGTACAGCTCCTTCCTACAGAAAGGAGCTAAGAACAAATGCCTTGATAGCACTCAGAGACTAAGAATCAGAAAATAAGTCAAAACGGAAACATGATTTAAAAGGGTTTAAATATTTTTAATCATCTGTAAGCCAAACTGTGTGTGTCTTTCCAATCTTTCTGTTTACGTGCCAAATTAATAGTTATAATCACATAGGACACACAACTTAAATTTTTTGCTTATAGCCACAGTTCCAAACTGTGAGCTAAGGTGCCCTATGCATCACAGCCCCCCAGAATATTTTAAATTTTCAAGGGAAACACAGTGACATCTGTGGAATACCATGAGAAGTACTGTTCTTAGGTTGTCTTGACCTAACTACTTCATACAGTTAACTGTTAGGTAACATAACATGAAAAAAACTGTAACATAATAAAAGAAACTTTTGGTTTAGGGATGCTGTGAAAAAATTACTAAGACACTAAAAGCATCATGAACCAACGAAGTTTAGGAACCTCTGATTTACAGTAAACATTGTTCTTCACTGTCATTTTCAAAACTGTAATATTTTTGCAGTGTTTTTAGCTCATGCCTTTATGTACAGAATTGATATTTCCTCTCCCACAGGGAAGGAATACCATCGACAGCTATGCCACTAGTTGGTTATCAACCATGGCTTAGTTAGCACCAGTGATCAAGAGCTCATTTTCCCTCGAGGCAGCCTGTTAGACAAGGATCAGCTATCGCTGATAGAAATGCATGTCATATCAAGCAGAAATCTGCCTCCTTTTAACATGAAGTTTGATGTTAGACATAACATATTAGGAAGACAAGTGCTAACAAGAATTAACTGTTTTTGGATGGTAAACACATTTTCAGTTATCCAAAAAGAAGGCCCTAATGTATTAAGTAAAAATTCTGTTTAAATAAGATTTAGCATACACAGGTTATTGTTTTTCTTTGCTGCAGACTGGTTCTGTAATCCCCTATAAATCAAAGACTTGAAAGGTAAGTCAGTCAGAGGCAAACAAGCTCAAAATTCCATGTCATTAAAATACACACACAGCACATTGTGAGACCTCTAGGAGAGTAAGGGAAGGGACAGGTCGGTCTGAGAGTTGGAGACAATGCTCCCTCGGCTTCGGGCGTGCCCTGCAGTATTGAGTTTTTAAGTACCTAGTTTTCAAACTCTTGGTTTTTATCTTCTCTACCATTTAGTCTATCCACATCACTTAGAAATAAGAGGCCTAGAAACATCTTGATGTGTCAGAGGCTGAAAAAGCACTAAAAACTGATGAGGACATGTCAAAAGCACTCAAGAGCCAGCATGAACAGGATAACTTGAGCATCAAAACAAATAATGATAGGGACCGGCCCCGTGGCCTAGTGGTTAAGTTCGGTGTGCTCCGCTTCGGCAGCCGAGGTTCGGTTCCTGGGCATGGACCTATACCACTCATCAGTGGCCATACTGTGGCAGTGACTCACATACAAAATACAGGAAGACTGGCAACAAATGTTAGGTTAGGGAGAATCTTCCTCAGGAAAAAATAAATAAAATAATAAAAATAAACAAATAATGACAGTAAGAGATTATAGCTCATTGCCAAAAATAAGACCCCATGAGTCCATACTGATATAAATGAATAAATAATTGCGAGAGAACAGAATGCTCTACTTTACAACTAATAAATGTAGAAGGAGTGATGAAATTAGAAAAATCACCATTTGGTAACCATCAGAGTAATATATGATTCAGGCATGAATCAATTTTTGATTAATTAGTGGATGCTAAACTAGAGGGTGAAAATGAATGAATAACAGTATTTTCACATACTGTCAACGTATCTCCCTATAACACACTTAATTCCAAAGAGAAAAGAGTAACTTTAAAGGAAAGAAAGTTCCTTTTGTTGATTACTATCAACAGTAATGGGACAAATCGACATCATGTGTCTCCTGATGGGATTCAATGTAAAGAACACACTAACAAATGCATAACCAGAATCTAATAAAGAAAGAGCGTCAAGGGTCAAATAACTGACCTGTGTTCTTTGTGAATGTCAAGGCCATGAAAGACAAGGATGAGAGGAGTGCTCTAGATTAGAGGAGACTCAGGAGAAAGATGCCCATAGGCAACATGTGATCCAGCTTTTCTCTGAGATGAAGAGCACTACTGAGACAAGTGGTGACATCTGAGTAGAGTCTATAGACTGGAAAATAGTATTGTTTCGATGTTCATGTCCTGATTTTGACAACTGTACTGGGGTTATACAAGATTAGAAGATACATAAAGAAATATTTAGTGGTAAAGGGGCATCACATTTGTTGCTTACTCTCAAATGATTCAGAAAAAAAGTATATATATATAGATAGAATGATAGCGCAAATGCGATAAAATGTCAGGTGTTTGAAGAATATGGGTGAAGGCTATATGGGAATTCTCTGATTATTCATCTTAAAATAAAAAGTAAAAATATAAAAGTTTTTCCTATCCTAGATTCACCATTGTAACTATTAACGCTAACTATACAGGAGCAGAGACCTTTGAATCCTCAATTTAATGAACATGTTTCAACTATTCTTCAGGAAACCTAAAGATGCATAATTTGTAACTGATGAGGCACTGATCTGAATCGTGTTCTCTGGGAGCCAATTACCCAGCTACTGAGCAATCTCTTTTCACAGCCTTCCACTCATATCTCATTACAACTGGGTTGCTCCATAGCTAGGACTGAAATGCTAGAACTATCAGAAAGGAATTTCTAAAAATCCTTTTTTTTGAAAACAGACATTAAGTGAGAGAAAACAGTTTAGTATAAAATGGAGTTAGCTTGTAAAGTGAGTATATGTACATAAACATGATTCTTAACAAAAGTGATTTGGGAGAAAGCAACTCGTACAAAAAGTTCTGCAGTCATAAATTGGGGAATTTGCAAAGGTCTTTCAAGTTATCTTTTGAGAATGTCAAGGGTCAGTCTATGCTGCAGAAGACATTTTGGTAACTTCTAAACTTTCTTATAGACTAGATTTGGGCTCGAAAGCCTCCAACAGATTCTTATCACACATAGAATAAATCCTTACCAGGCTCTACAAAATCAACATGATCTCACAATTGTCTGTCCTTTGACCTCATTCCCTCCCCCTCTCCACCTGACTCACCCTCTTCTGACCACTCTGGCCTTTGCGCTGTTCTTTACACATGCTCAGCTCATTCCTGCCTCAGTCTTTACACATGTGGTTCCCTCTGCTTAGAACACTTTCCCCTCAGCTCTTCCCACTTGCTCTTTTCATTCAGGTTCCTGCTCAAGTGTCACCTCCTCAGAAAGACTTTCCTTGACTACTCTCTCTCTAAAATGTTCCTTGTCTCACCATTTCCTGATGTTCTCTATCCCTTTACCTGGCTTTATTTTTCTTTACGGCTCTGATCACCTAACGTCCTATTTATCTGTTTACTTTCTCCTCTACTATAATGTAACCTCCATAAGGGCAAGGACTCACTATCATAACTCCAGGGCTGAGAGAATTTAGTATAAAATAGACACAAAAATTTATTTGTGAGATGAATGAACAAATGTATTGCATTTATTTTTCTTTAACATCTTATTATAAGGAAGATTAAAAATGACTAACATTGACTTTGCCTCAGGGAGCTCATGATTTTGTGCAGACTTTGAACAACTGCAAATTTAAGGAAGATGGCAAATGGGAAGTGTGGGATTGTTTGGGCACATATAACGAGGAGAGTAACTTTACTTGGCTGGGTTTGGGGTGCAATCAGTGAAGAGTCTCTTTGGAAGTGACACAGAAGTTGAGAACAGAGAGATATGTAGAAGTAAACTAGGCAAAAAAATGGTGGGAGCTGAGGAGAGAGGTGTGGAGCTGGTGTGAATGACAATACTGATGAAACAACTGAGAAACCGACAATGAAGGCAAGGTAGCTGAGACAAGATGGAGACGCAGGTGCAGTAGACCAGGAAAAGCCCCACAGATCAAGGAGTTGAGAATTTTATCTTAAGGGCCATCAAAAGCCACTCAAAAGTTTTATGTAGAAGAATGACTACCAGATTTGCTTCTTTTAAAGACCACTTTTAAAAAGTGCATAGTGGTCCTGAAAGATGACGTGGGTAGGACTAGGGCAACAGCCTAGATACAGAGAATAGACCTGTTAGATGAATTAGGACACAGAATCCAGTGCAAGAATGTGCCGAATGCATATTCACACTCATTTCCAGAAATCTTACAGTAAGACACTTTCTAAAACACAAGGCTATGATGAAATGAAACTCTGGGGGTTCAGTGTTATATCAATATGGAAAGGCAGTAGAACAAAGTGGAAGGTGCTAATCTTTGGGTTCAAATCCTAACTCTGTTATTTTCTAGCTCTGTGCCCTTGGGGCAAGTTACTTAGGATATCTGAGCCTCAGCTTTCTCATCTAAAAAGTAGGGATAATACATCCATCTTCAGAGCTGTGATGACTGGCCCAAATGAAGCCTGCCAACTGCCAGGAATACTGCCTGACATACAAGAATTAAAAAAAATAAAATCCTTCATTAACACAGCCTCACAGTATAACAGTTTCTTCAAACCTTTCCCAAGTGTAGTTACATGTTTTGAGAAACATAAGGTAACCCAGGCTATCTTTATAGCTATGTTATAACAGGGTCTAACAATACTGGCTGAATTTTAAATGAGGTAGAGTACATATTTTATTTCACTGGGGGAATATACGTGTTAAGACTTTCTCTTTAAAATCCCTTAGAAAAACTGACCTTCAAAACATTAAAAAAATAACCCCTAGATTATTGACATGACACAGTATTCTCACCTCTTCGAGGGAAGATTCCAAATTCATTCCAAAAGCAACTCCCATTAATCCAAACAGCGAAAGAGAGAAGGTTCCCATGGTCAACTGCAGGTTCAACCTCATCATCACATTACGGTGGCTGGAGAGGAGAACACTTATTTAGACCAGAAAGGCCCACTGACTACATACAGAAGATGCACTAAATCATCTATTAAAGGCCACATGGATTAAGTCCACACTTAAAAAAAAAAAGAAGACACACTTTCATGTAGTAGTTATAGATTATAATGATGGTATAATTCCTTCTAAAATGACAGTTCCTTAAAAGCTTTATTACTTTATAATTATTATTTTATAAAGAAAGCACTTACTGATCGTTTTATATAATGCTTTCTTACCTGTCCAGATTGATGAATATAATGCTTTGTGAATCATCAATCAGTAACCTGAGTTCGTGAGCTGCATTGGAAAGATCCTCAGCTAATCGGTGGTAGTTTTCCAACAGCAACTCCATCTCTTCTGCGTGGTCAATTCCAGTACTGCTCTTTTCACTTCAATTTAAAAAGTTAACATAATTAACATGTCCCCAATATGTGCATCATACATGTAACAACAAAAAACTTCCTGAATTAGTATATCATATTTGGCTACCAATGGGAAAAAACTAGCCTTTGCCTTTTCTATTATTATGATTGAGGCCATTTGAGTGACTTTGTCAACTGATCCCAAACACTACACAGGTTAAGTTGAGGGCACAGGTTCTATTCCTATACAGCCTAGTTAGCTTCACTATATTCCATGGCCCCAATCCAAGGGACTCTAATGCACCAGTTACACGAAAGTCCAGATGTGTGAATGCTGATGAATTAGTGCAAATCCAATACGAGTGACTATGAGATAAAACAAAACCAGACCTAAAAATGAGCGTAAAAAGCATTTCCTTTCTAAGGTAAATATGTAATGTCATTTTCATATACCAAAAAAATGTGTTTGAATGTTAATACATAGCTATTTTGTTCCCTTTTCCATATACCCACCCCTTTCCCCCCCACCAGGAGAAGTGAGAATGAAGTACTCCATAAAAAATAGTTCTATCATAAAGCATATTAGAGATGGCCTGGCGTAATAAGCAAACAAGAGTTACGAGTGTGTTCACTTTTCTGTTACTGTACTTATCTGCTACAATGCCAAATGTTATATAGCTTTTTTACACTAATGTTTGATTAGAATACAGATAACAAATTTCCCAAAATGCTTAAAAATCTGTACAGACTGTGGAAACTAGACACATTACAAAGGTGTATTAATTTCTAATGCAGGTCTACAAAGAACAAAAATGAAATATTTTGGGTATTTAAAAAGTAAACATTTAACTTGAGTGTGGTTCAAGAAGAGTACATGATTTCTAAATTCATAAGATAAAAGGTTTCTAAGATAAAAGGTTTCTAAGATGAGCATTTTTATGTTAGACCAAACTTACAGAGTCTGTGCCAATGTCTTACTCATCCCCCTTCTCCCACCCCTTCCCTCCCCATGTGAACTTCTCACCACTTCCACTCTAAGTTAGTTGGGTAGAGGTGTTAGCCATGTCAGGGGTCAGTCCCCCAAAGATAAAGGTAGTGGTGTGTTTATCTTTATATGACCACAGCCCAGCACAGTGCTGTGTACACAGCAGGATTTCAATATATCCTTGTTAAATTGAATTAGATGCAACATAGCAGGGGGAAAAGTGAAACAACTGGGACCAAAGTGCCAATATTCTGTATCTCAGAAAAATGTTATGTTCTCTATGAAAACTCATCCTGAAGAAGACAAGGCAGAAGACTGATCCTAAGAGAATACATAACAAAGCATGACTACACACTTACAAGACTTGTGGGTCACTCCACTTGGTTAGACAGAGCTCTTCTAGCAACTCTTCTTCATCCAAGATCTCCAAAATCGACTCTTTAAAAATTTTAATATCTGTTTCTAATTCTGATAGACTGTAAGAGTAGTTGTATAGAAATGATCAATAACATAAACTTAAACAACATTTCACTTGAAGAAGAGTGCCTTTTTCTTATCAAGTAGAACCACTTATACATTCACGGAAAACACCAATTTGTACAAAAAATTTTTTGGTATTTATCATGCAGATTAAGAATCAATTCCCAAATCAAAACTACATTAACCAGTAAAAATAATCAATGATATAAATTTCTGCATATATTGTTTATCTCAGAAACATACAATCATTGCAAATTTAAGGTTTTTGGTTGGGTAATTTATTTTTACTCTTAATAAATATGGCAGTGATAATATAAGGACTATTTACTTTTAATTGATAAAAACATTCCAACATTTCTGGACAAAGAACTAATGATTCAGAAATTTTAACCACTAACTCTTGAAGAGATTTTAGGGGGTACAAACCCTGAGAGAATGTTTATTCAATTTATGATAAAATTAATTAAAATATTACTCTTAAATTCTGGAATGCATTATAATAAACAACAACAAAAAGGAATATGGGGGGACAGAGAATTAGATTTGCCATTTATCAGCTGTGTGAATTTAGACAAGTTACTTAAACCTCAGCTTTCTCCTCTTCAAAATGAGGACAGTATCAACTGCTGAAAAGACGAGAGGAGATCACACACGGAAAAGAGCCTGATATGGCATTTTAGGCAAAATAGTTTTTCAGTAAACATTTGTCTGAGTGCCCCTTTTAGCTTAATTTCCCACCTAGGCTACTTTGCTAGTTTAAAAAAAGTTACAAAACACAGAATTTTAACAGGAAATAAAACTAAATATGGCAATGAAGGCACTGAGAGTAAGTCATTAAGTGAAAAATATCATTACCACTAGCAAGACTAGTTGGTATTTTTTACAACAGGTAATAATCACACTAATCTTGTGTCTGAATTCATGTTCAACACTTCACTGTTAAGACTACTGAAAGAAAAGTTTAAGATATTTGCGTATAAGTCCCAACTTGGTAAATCCCCCATATTTACCTTTTGCCATTTTGTAGTAAGATGTGCAGTTTGCTTCTGTCTACAGAAGAATGCTTGGGATCCACTAAAGCTTCCAAGGTCTCAAGGATCAGTGGCTGCAAAATGCTAAGTTTCCCCTGAAGGGTGTTGATCTAGATAACAACATGACCTTTCATAAGAATTAAAACAATCTTTTTAGAACACTCAGGGTCAGTGAATCCTCTGATTAAATACAGAAATCTATAATGGCTAGGAAAGCTGGGAACATTTCAGAACATGGTCCCTGCTGGAATGCCTATTCCAGATGATTCACACACTACATCTCCTGGGTTAAAAGATAATCACGGATAATGTTGTTACTAGGCTCACACTAGGCTGATAAGGAATTCACTCTCCTAAGAGGCTTCTCCTACAGGCACTTATGAAAGGAATGGGGGATTGATTAATTAAAACAAAACCTGCCATTCTGTGGTTAAAACACAAACTTTACATGTGCTAAACAATACTTATGTACTTTGTAAACAGAGTATAGTTTAAAATTCCTATGAATAAAGCTCTTTTAAAAACCAAAACATAACTTGGACTTTAAAAAATAAAACAAATCAGTGTAAAGTCAAAAGCATACTTCTTCTTCAGGTTAACACAGAGAATTGATATTCAGCAGGTTAAGCACTGATATAGCTATACTAGTTGTTGAAATATTGAAATCCTTCCATACCAGTTGGTAAACAGCATAACAGTAACTGAATTAAGCTATAAAATTCATTAATCACATAAATTCCAGCATATACTGTTTAGCTCAGCATGAGCTCCTAAGAGCTTACTCAGCCTATGGAGCCTGTCACTGACCAACGTCTGCACCTTCTTTTCTTTCCCTCTCCTGCTTTTTCCCTGCTTCGTAACTGGGCTCCAACTAGTCACCATCTCATTGGTTGGTACCAGCTGATGCTGTTGCCCAATTAACTAGAGCTGGGATATAGCCATCTCCTACTCCCTTAGTACAGCAAGGCAGACAAGAGAAGGGCACCAGGTTCACCCAATGCCCACCCACCTCATGGCCCCTTTACCCTCCTCTCTTTCTCCCACTCTGGGTAGCATGCCCCTAGCACCAACTCTTACATGCAGCCAGTTCCTGAACAATACTATCCTGACTAATAGGAGGAAGAAAAGATAATGAAAGATTTGTGAGGGCCAGGAAAGCAGTGACCATCCTTATTCAGGGCCTGACAGGATCTCCAGACACCCAATGACTATCAATTTAAAGAGAAGTCATTAGAAGAACTGCACATGGTTCCTATGTCAAACTAGGCCTCAAACAGAGGCATCATGCAGCTGCCTCAAACAAAGGATTGCACAAACAAATCAGAGAATGATTTGGAAAGTATTAGGATGATATGATGAATGATTTGTGCTATAAAATTTATCAGATGTAAGCAGTTTTACAATATACACAATTTAATTTAGAGAATAAAATGGAATACATTTAAAACTCTTTTGATATGTTCATTTATAGCATATTTAGGATTTTAAGTATTTTGAATTATCACCCCTGAATACAATTATTAAAATTGTACAAAAGACAGCCAACTTGAAATGTGCTTCTTTGAATGTCATAACATGACTCTCAAAGAGATATTAATACTGTTTGTAGAGAGACAGTAGATCTGATTGGGTCATAAAGTTTAAGAATTAAGTAATTTCCCTATACAGGACCCTTAGAGATGTTTTGTTTGGGTCAGGGAAAGTGCCATTGAAACAATACTGACTTGCCTTCCTACTCAATAGCAATTTAACACCAGAACAAATTCAAGAAGCTAAATAAAAACAGGCTTACCCGATACTGCAGGAGTGCTTCTATAGCTCTAAACTCAAACGGTAAAGGGTATGTGACAAGTTGACCCTCTCCAGCCAACTGCGAAGGAAGTTCCCGGAATAGCCATTGCTCTAAATTTAAATTACGATAATCTAATATCAGAAGACACTCTGGAGTAATCACAGCTTTCAAATACTGTAAAAAAATATATATACACATGTTTGTACACATATACATACACGTATACATGCATTTATGTATATGCAAGTTGTAGACCTGTAGGAAAAAAACATTCATAAAATAGGATTTAATATTCTATTAATTTTGGATTAAGCCTAAGTCAATTCATTGTTTATTTGGTTTTTCAAAAAAACCCAAAACATATTTTCTTTTTTTAAAAGAAAGGAAGCCTAAAATATATGTAAGTCTTAATATCTCTAATTTACTCTCAACAGAAATGGAATTAAACAAATTATGTATTTATTAAGAGTTCTAGCATAATCGTGAGAAAAATATGGAATAAAGGAAACAAGATAGTCTTCTTAAAAGTATGTATCGGGTAGACTTTTAGAAAAGATTTAGTTTAATCATAATTAGTTTGAATAAAATGGGAAAGTTTCCTTTTTCAAATATCACCAAAACATATTGAGCTAATTTGGAATTATAAAGATAAACTTTAGCCCACCAAAATAACTTATGCCCATATTAATTCCGAATCACTAACGAAAGTCATATTATATTCGGTGTGCTCTGAGTAGGCAGGGGAAGACACAATATAGTTTAGAAAGCTTTACATAAAAATAAAAATTTAGGGGCCAGCCCTGTAGCCAAGTGGTTAAGTTCACGCGCTCCGCTTCGGTGGCCCAGGGTTTCGCTGGTTCAGATCCTGGGGGCGGACATGGCACTGCTCATCAGGCCATGTTGAGGCGGCGTCCCACATGCCACAACTAGAAGGACCCGCAACTAAATATACAACTAGGTACTTGGGGGATTTGGGGAGAAAAAGCAAAAAAAAAAAAAATTAAAAAAAATTTGAAGATTATAAACTTTAAAGAACATTCCTGGGCTATTCAGAAAACCAGAATATGTTCTTGGTAGCTAAAGTTATACTATAACTATACATAACTGCATACAACTGAAAATGTCTACTATAAATCAAAATTCTTTCTCTTATCGTTTCAGAAATGAGAGACTAAATTCCAGCAGTGAGAATGGAGACTGCAGTCAGAAGTTTTCCAACGTAAAATAGAGCAGTGCTATGCCTGCTGAACATATGTATATAATCCATGTAAAATGAGTTCTATTCATAAAAATGTTGTTATAAAATATCTTATGTTTCACACAGCTTTTTTAATTATAAAATTACTTTTAACCTAGATATTGATCAAGATAACTAGGAAGTAACTTTTAGAAGACTGCAGTAGAAATGTAGATAAAATAAAATCCTTTACCTCCACTCGCATGATAATCCTATTGTTTCTGGTTGTGATGCTCATTAAATGCTGGAACCTCAAATCTCTAGCTTGAAGACCTAATTCTTGATATAAGTCAGTTTTCTTCCTTTCTATAAAAGAAATATTTTCAAAAAAGAGTGGGCTCAACCAAGAAATTGAAGAGTTTAAATTTTTATATCCCACCAACAACAAGATAATTTTCTACTACTACCAGAAACAAAAGCTAAAATGAGTCTTTAATACCCATTTTTACCTCAAAAACATACTCAGGCTAAATCTGGTCAAACTCTTTTTTTTTTTTCTCCCTCTTATCCATACTTCATAAGATTTCTCTATATGCAGAAGCCTCTTGGGACCAATATAAAAACCACAGCTATACATCATTAGAACTTAGGGTATCAATTTCTAGCTCTACAGACAGGTCATCTTTTTAAAATATGAATTGTATAGAACTACATTTTCTATTTTTTCTCACTACTTTATCATCTTCAGTATTTTAAATCTCTGAACAGATAAGTTCAATTTTCTTTGTTCTTGGGCTCATACAAAATGAGAAAATTAAGTCAGTTCTCATACTAGATTCTCCCACTTGAAAACTAAATTTATCACCTAAGAGAAAGCATAGCAAAAGAGGAAGCTCAAGAAATGATACTGGTTATAGCAATATCTGAACTTGTAGCATCAAACCACACCTGTGACAGAGCTCTGACAGAACAATATTTTGAAGGAGATAGTGAGCAAAAAGCACTCAAAATACTCCACTGGGATTTCAGCACTAGCAGGAACAGCAAGGACAAGGGGGTTGGAAGTGCACAGGAGATCTGAAACCTGCACCTGAGGTCAGACAGTAAAGGAATGCTTGGTTTCACTTTAAAAAGTAACTGTCCATAAGAGCAATCATCAGCAGAACTCCATCAGACTGCCATCCAGCGCCCCATCCCTGCTGTCTTCTGTCACCCACTGCCACTGCAATGTCAGTGGTAATACGTGATTCTGCCTTAAACATGGTACAGGAGGAGATGAATATAAGGATCGTGCTGTGAAAGGGAGAGTAAAGAAGAGAAACAAAAGGGAAAACAGTGTCTTTTTCCTCCAGCTATACACCAGCCTCTGTTCTCCAAAATATTCCTTTAACATCCTGTTAGAGTGAAAGTTGCTCCTGACAGAAAAAATCAATTCTGGGAGAATGTGCACAGTCCAGGTATTGCCAGTTCCAATTAGGATTGAAGGAAAAATGCTGAAGAAAGATCTCCTTCAACACATCCATATAAGCAAAGAATATTCTACTCAAAACACTACAACTTCCTGATATCCATCAGACCACTCATTCATTAATTAAAAAGGAAAAGTGATTTAGAAGAAAATTAAAGATACTCACCAAAAGAAGAAACATTTCCCTCTTTGTCAAATTTTGTCTGGAGAGATAATAACAACAAAATATTATTTTCTCCCAAATGAGTATCCTATTTATGGCATTATACATAGGGTTTTATGATAACATCTCCCAAATACTGAAATGCAGATATAAACCACAACTGTTTTTTTTTCAGTGAAATTCAGTTATGAATTAAGGGTTATAAAAACCCCTTTTTCCTTTGCTAGGACAAATCAGACACCGGATTAACTTTCTATCTTGGTTCCCCTGGAAATGTGATAAAGGAGTATCAGTGCTGCTACTTAGGCAATATTGCTTATGGCAGACTGCACTGGATTGGGAAGAGTGAACCAATTACAGACAGCTGGTGGGAAGCCAGGGTCTGCCTGTCCGAATGTGGTGGCTCTTGTAATTGGCCATGTTCCTTGTGGGAGCCCTGGATGTGCCTGTGAGATGGTTACAAGAGACACTGGCACTAGAAGGTGCAGGGATTCTAAGCGATAGTGGCTCTTACACCCACCTCTGAGACTATTGTCTCTTTGTGCCTGAGCTGTCACACAGAGTCCCAGAGAAGCCCCTGGATGGCTCCAAGGACTTCTTTTGAAGAGGAAACACCTGATGCTGCCCTTTTGCATTTCCTATCCTTTATCCTTCTGAAAAGACTGGGACCAAGTGTGGCTTAACTTGTGAATCTAAGTATCTACTGGAAGCTATGAAGTCTCTCTGGTCGGTGCGGCACAATCAATTAAGATTTACAGAAAAGCCCTCTTCTGATAGTTTGAAGAAAGGACATGATGCAGAAAATGTACTTATTTCCTGTAAAGCAGAGGGAACATTTTTCTATAATATTTGTCCACAGTCAAGTTTGGAAAGGTCAAATAATATTTAATGCACCAGGGGCCGGCCTGGCGGGGCAGCGGTTAAGTGTGCATGTTCCGCTTCAGCAGCCTGAGGTTCGCCGGTTCAGATCCCGGGTGCGGACATGGCACGGCTTGGCAAAAGCCATGCTGTAGTAGCCGTCCCACGTATAAAGTAGAGGAAGATGGGCATGGATGTTAGCTCAGGGCCAGTCTTCCTCAGCAAAAAGAGGAGGCTTGGCAGTAGTAAGCTCAGGGCTAATCTTCCTCAAAAAAAAAAAAAATTAATGAATCATTATGTGCCAGGCTGTACTAATTAGTATTAAAGATGCATTTTCAGAAAGACACACTCTAAGATACAGTTGCAGGTACAAGTCCTGGGTTACTACTATGGAAACACGTGCATGCTGTGTTAACAATAACACAATAAAACCCCATAATACATATTTTAGCTTCCTTCTCATGAGCAAAGATCAGTATTTAATGAATACCATTAAATATCTGTTAAAGAAAAATTTACATCAAAGGAAGCTTTGTTTTTGGTGTAATACAGACTAGCTTTCCTCCTTAAATTTATTTCATAAATACATATATCTGCTGCAGAAAATCTGAAAATCATGCTAATCTTTTACTGAATGTCCTTTCAGACTTTTTCCTATTAAATATATTCAGGTTACACACACTTCTTTGCAGTCTCTCCTCCACTTTCAACTTAACAATATATGCTGAATATTTCCGTATCTCAAAATTTATCTGTATCATTTTTTAATGGGATTTTTTCTCATTTAAAAAATAAGATCATAAAAACTATGATTTTAAAAAAATGTTTACTTTGTAATGGAACACATTACATATAAAGTGAGCTGACTAGCTCATTTTATAAACTCTCATTATTTCAAACAGTATCAATCGATTTTCTTAAGTGTTCTTGGTAGACAATGATTTAACCCGCAAAGAACCTTCTTTCAATATTTAACACCTGATTTTGTATTCTCGTTTAACTCAACTGGCCAACTCTTCCAGAACAATGAATAACTGTGATAACTTTCACATGCAGTTCTGGGGATTATCTTGTTCAGTGCAGTTTATTAAAAAAAAGTTCTTGTATTAATAAGCCTAAATAATAATGATAATGGCTTATACGGAATGCTATTTTAAAGGTTTTAGATATATGAGTTAATCTAAACCTGACAACAATTCTACAAGGTAGGTACTACTATCTCCAGTTTACAAATGAGAAAACTAAGGCACAAAGATGTTATTATCACTTGTGCAGGTCCACCCAGTTAATAGTAAGAGGCAGAGCTGAGATCTGAATACAGGAACTCTGGCCGACAGCAAGCACACTTATTTTTTGAAACTTTTTCTTTGAAAAAACTAAAAGCCTAAAAAATGTTGCAAGAATGTTATACCTAATTCCTAGGTAACTTTCACCTAGTCACCCTTTGTTAACTTTTTGCCCCAACGGCCTTATTTCTCTCTCTCTAAATGTCTGTGTGATATACATTATTCTCGTTAATTCATTATTAATTCTTGTTATTTTATTCATTCATTTTTTTCTCCTAAACTATTTCAGAGTAAGTTGGAGAGATCATGACCCTTCAAAGCATACACTCAAACACTACACCATGCAGCCTTCAAACTGCTTATGCATATGTGTGTGTATATATATATATATATATTTTTTTTAGGAAGATTAGCCTTGAGCTAACATCTGCCACCAATCCTTCTCTTTTTGCTGAGGAAGACTGGCCCTGAGCTAAGATCTGTGCCCATCTCCCTCTACTTTATGTGTGGGACGTGTACCACAGCATGGCTTGACAACAGGTGCCATGTCCACACCTGCGCCGCCGAAGCGGAATGTGAACACTTACCTGCTGCGCCACCGGGCTGGCTCCATGTTTCTGCATATATTACATTGCATGGCACAGGTTCAAGCCCCTCTATGGCTAGTAGCCTTCAAGGACTTCTAATTAGATTCATGGGGAAATGTTGAGTATTCAAGTAGGAAGATCTGAAACTGTGACTTGGACGACTTGTTTTAGTATTAAAAGAAGAGCTCCACAGTCATTAGCAAAGTTTCAAGAGTGCTACTAACCAAATCGAGTTGACACTCAAGTCACTGGCTAAGCAAAAGACAAAGACAACACGACTTATAAGTAACATGACTCATCATAAAACAAAAACTATTATCTTGGCAGACCAGTCTAACCCAGTTAATAAGCACGAGAAGTATGTTCTGTACATTATCAAATGTACCAGACATACTCACCACAGTAAATACAGGGGATACACTGGCTAAGGTGGCTTGAGAGACATCAGAAGTTCTAAACCGGTGCACCTCACCTGAAGAATGAATGAGAGAATTCCCTGTGATCATACAATTGGTTTACACATATAGCTAAGATACAGCTCTCATAGTATATGGCAGTCTTCAGACTATTTCACTATTTTTGGAAACTTTTTCCTACAGGAAAAAGAAACAAGACTTTTATTTGTTAATTTTAATATTTGTAGGTGATTATGTTAGGTTTGGCAGGGGATGATTTTTAAAAGCAATGGCTTAGGTGAGACATCAGAATAATTTTCGGATTCTAACCCCCCTTTTCCCTTTCTAATTATTACTGTTATCTCAGACTTGGATGAACAAATGTACAACAGTATCCTGAGATTAAAATTTTCCATAATTTAAAAAGGCTCTTTTACAAATTATCTTGGTAGATATATTTCAGAAGCTATAAATCCAAGGAATGTCTGACTTTCAGCATTCCAATATCAGGATTATCTGACTGACCTATGAATTATAAAACCTACAGATTTTACTTCTGTGTATTAACTTCTTTTTCACAGATCACTTTATGGTGAATACTTATGAAATAACCCAGTGAACTGGAATGAAGACAAATCTTTATTTGAAAATATATCTACTTCAAACATGTGATTAGACTGAGTTCAAGTGAGTTGTGAAGTATAATCAAGAGAATTTAATGACTGACAAAGGACACTTTAAAATACTAAACATAAGAGAGATGGGCAGAAGTTGTACAAAAATTACCAACTATTTTATGCTTCCAAAGTAATCACAGTGACTCCACAGAAGGTGTAGATATTCTCATTTCTGATCTTATTCTTTCTCATTACATACATTTAATGACCATGTAATGTGTTAGCATCTGAGGTTTGTTGTTTCCCTTTTACAAAATACTAACTATGTTACAAGGGTCAGCCAAATGAACGTAAAAGTCAGAGGTATAAACCAGCATTTGCTATCCAGGCAGAAGTTAGATAAAGCGTTACCAGGATGGAGATTCTGATCTCAACGTTTGTCCTGAAACATCAGATGGGCTGAAAATGGGTTCCCAAGCATTATTAAAGGAGGGAATATGGGATGTAACCCAATTCAGAAACTCTCCAATGAGTGCAGGGAAGGAGGTGGTGACCAGCAGTTACTTTGGGAGGCTTCTGAGAGCACAACTGGGAACATTTATTTCAGGACAGGGCAGTATTTTTCAGAAGACATCCGTTTTAATGACTTTTTTTCTGAGCAATATTAGCACTCACATTCTCATATCTGTGAAAATGTTAACAGATCATCATGCTTTATCATTTGGTAAAACATAAATAACAACTCAGATTCCCTCCCTCCCGCCCCTGCTGACGCCTCTGGCTGTTCGGTTACACAGTCCTTGGAAAACAAAGTCAGATCTTTGCCAAGAGCAACTCTTACCACGAAGTCTCAACGTCTTGGGCCTCCCTTCTAGGTGCGTTCCCACCCCTTACCTGAGCACCCGGACAAATGCATAACGTGTCCATAAGGAACAGACAGAAGTCAGGGAAGAGAGAGGAAGACTCATAAGAATATTTCAGGCAGATGAACCCAGTCGTGACCTCAGAACTACCGTGAAGAACAAGGGTGAAACTCTTGTTAAAAACCCTTCTCACGAGAGCACTGAGGCGGGGAGACGTGCAGCACGGGCCGGGCCGGTCGCACGCTGGCAGGCACGGGGCACGGTCTCGCCCGACTGGCGCTCGAGTCAGAGACCTGAGGTCACCGCCACCCCGGCGTCCCAGGGCTGCGGGAAGGGGAGCGGCGGGGGGGAGCGGCAGTACCTGCCACGCGGGGCCGGCGGGGCGTGCACAGCAGCGCGGCCCGGCTCCCTCCGAGGAGTCCGGCTGCGCGGCCCACAGGCCGAGTCGCGGGGGTCAGGCCCAAGGCCAGAGCACATAGAGTGCGCCGGGGCAGCCCCACCGCGCGGGGCAGGAGCCGGGGCAGGCTCCGCAGGCATTCCATGGCGCTGGAGCGACGAGGAGGCAGCAGCAAGACCCCAAGCCTTCATGCCGGCCACTGGCGGCGCAACCAGCGCTCCGCGACCCCGCGCGAGCGAGCGCCCAAGGCACTGCGGCTGCGTACCGGGCATGCGCGGGGCGCGCCGCGCGAGCGTGTTACTTTCCGCGCATGCTCCGAAGGCGCCTTGGGGGCGTGCTCCTTGTGTCCGCCGCCAATCGGAGTTTGCGTCCTGTACCTGCGACGGTACCTGTAAGGTGTGGAGGGACTGACTGAGGGGTGGGTGGGACGCGCTTCCCACCGTAAGGCGAGCTGTCGCACTTGGATTTGATCCTTGGGCCCTTGGAGTGGTCAGGCCCACACGTAAAGTGTTATTTCCATTAACTAGTAATCTTTAAATGTGAAAAACGACCCAACGTGTATACTGCTTTGCATTCTGGAGCATTTTCATACATGTGATTGAGTCTGCAACTTGAAAGTGAGGAAGTTATGCCCATTCCCTACTCAATTTATATTTGTTTAATTAGCAAAAATAATAAACTGTCATATGGAATGCTATATTAAACTTTTGCTAGTGAAGATTGAGAAACAAACGCACAAGATTTATATTCCACATTTAATCACATGTAAGGTAGTATCAATTTCAAAGTACCATTATGTTACGTACCACCAAGAAAGAACAAAACGCTGATAAACTATGCTTTCTAATTGTATCATTGTTAAGACTGATCCGAATTTCATTCCTTAAAATATGAATAAATGAGCGTTAGACTTGATTAACTACACTATTATACGTATATGCATATGACAAATAAAAATGGCAAGCAATAGGATATACTGGAGAATATGAGGAAGCCATTTGGTATAAACCTAACTCGGCCTGACCTTGTCTTTCCAAAAGGGCCTGACCGTGGCTGTTGAGCATGCATTGTATATCTGCTTTAGAGATTCCCTACGGCAAGAACAAAGGCCCTTGAGATAAAGGTGCAACTTCCCTCCCCCTCCCAACGTTGGCGTCTCCTTAAGGATTAAGCATCTTTCCTTAGGCTAGAAACTGATTGCTGCGCTCACCTGTGACCACCCAGCTGGAGACAATAGACTTGCCTCTTGCTACGCCCACCAAGATGGCAGACCCACTACTTGCTGTGTCCATCAAGTGCTGTGCCCACAGGGCAATCTGGTGACTATTGTGGGAGGGACATTTCAATCCTATGTGAAACACCCTGTTTGGGGGTATATAACCACTCTGTGCACCCCACTTCTTTGGTGCCCTTTCTTCCTTCGGGAAGAAAGTCCCCGGGCCATGGTCCTCAGATTTCAGCTCAGAATAAACTCACCCAAATTTTCATTTATAGATTGTTTATGGATTGTTTTCATCGACACATATTTTAAAAGCATGAATTAATAGACTTGTCACGACTGCAGTAGTAATGTAAGGCAGACACGAGTTTCAGAGATTTCCATTCCATCCCTATGTATGACCGTAGAGCTAAGGAAGCACAAGAGAGAACCATTTTTTCTGCAGGGTATTGGGACTGGGAGTGGATTAGGAGGCCAGCAGACAGAGAGAAGGCTTCACAGAGGAGAGGAGGTTGGAGTTGAGCAATGAGGGCAAAGGAGGACTTCAACCATTGCTTCCCAGAGGGTTGAAGTCTGGAAAGAGCCCAAGGTGTAGAGAGCATAGCTGGTAGATTTTTCATTTTACTAGGGGCTTCAATGATTGAAATACATCATTCAGAAACATTACATGCCTTCAGACACATTTCTTAAGACAACATGTGATAACTCTTTTTTAAAAACTTGACCCCCAGCACAATGAAACAGCCCTGTTAAGATGACCTTTGCAAAGCCTTAGAAAAACTCTGGGATGTGGCCAACACATGGCCTTGTAATTCATAGCAAGAATTTGGAATTTAATCTGAGGAGGGTAGGAGCCACTGAAGGACTTTGAGCAGAGAGGTAGTGATCTAATTTATGTTTAAATGGATCCTTCTGACTGTGTGGGGAAGAGATTGCAGAAAGGCAAGTGTGAAAGCAGAGAGATGGTGATGGTTTGGGCTAAGGTGGAGGTGGTAGCGAAGAGACAGAATGGGCTTGGTCCTGTATATCTGAAGACCAAATAGACGAGATTTGCAGATGGGATGTAAGAAAAAGAGAAGCATAGAAGTGGACTCCAAAATTTTTGGCCTGAACAACTGGGCAATGATGGTACCATCTACTGTGATGGGGAATTTTGGAGAGGAGCAGGTTTAGATGGAGAGCAGGTTATGGCATGGTGTTTGTTTCTGGACATGTTAAATTTGAGAGCTCGACTAGATAGATATTTAAGCCTAGATGTCAAGTAAGCAGTGTGGAGTTCAGGGGAAGTGTTGGAGCTAGATAAATACATTTCGGACTATATAGAAGTATTTAAAACTGGAAGATTGGGTAAGATCTCTTAGGAAGTGAGACAGTAAAGAGCAAAGTTGCTATGATTGAGCTCTGGGTCCTCCAGCCTTTAATAGTCAAGAAGAGGAGACGGATCCAGCAGAAGAACATGAAAAGGAGTGGCCAGGAAGAAGGAATAAATTTGGAGAAGGTGGGTTCTTTGAAGTCAAGAGAAGAAAGTTTCAAGAATGAAAAAGTGATCAGTTATATCAGATGCTACTGATAGGTAAAACGAGAATTGCCTGTGTTGGGCGTGACACTGGAGATTTTGATAGGAGTAATTTTAGTAGGGTGGGAAGGAATGGGACCTGGATCATCATCTTCCTTTTCATTCCAAGCCATAACAGGATCCCAGAAGATTTCTGCACCTATATACCAATCTGGCCTTAACATTCCTTGATCTCTTTCCTTACCTCTTGAGCTCCGAAGAACGTCAATTAACCAATCCCAGCCTCACCGTCTGCATTGTGTTCTCACCCAGAACTGTTTGACCTCAGAAATGTTATACCAATAACCCACTCTCTAACCATAGCCTCCTGGGGGCTTTACACCCACAACGATTATATTCTGCTATCAAACCCTTCCAGGCTGCTCTTCCTTCTCTACCCAACCCAGATTATGTAACTGATCATCTGAAACCACTATGACTAGTACATGGAACACAAGGCACTCATGCGGTGTAATCATAGAAGCCTCTTTATTTTCGTCCCTTTAATCCTGCTGAGTGGAGCTGGTCCTTCTCCTGCCTCTTGAAAACGTGGGCAGGTTCCATGGCTTTTCTGGTCTCTCAGTCCTATGTTCACTCTAGTCTCAATTCAGTAATTTAAAACATTCACTCCATATACTAATTCCAGTTCAGTGATTTGCAATGTCAGACCCAATATACTAATCACCACTTCAATCTTCATTCAAAGGAAAAACTTGGTCTCTCTCTCCTTGTTGGGGCTGGAGGCAAATAGGAATTTTTGTTGTGGGTAGGGATTCCAAGCAGCTCCCCTTACCCCTTCCCACGGCCTTTCTTACTCCACAGCTGCTGTTTCTGACTCTGCTGGAGCAGTGAAACAAAGTGAGAATGAACCAAAATGTTTATTGAGAGATGGCATCATGCCCTCTATAGGCAGGGCAGATTTTAAAGCTGACTTCATTGTGGGCATATTCATGGTTCCCCAGAAGACCTCCTTCCTCCAACCCCGCCCCCCTCCCAGGACCATCTGGTTGCCCTTCCTTTGATGTGGGCAGTGGCCCTCCTGATCAATTTCAGCTTCTGCCCCTTCTTGCCTCAAATCACCGGATTCCTCTCTTCCTGACATGCTGCTCTTTGGGGCACAATACTTTTAAAAACAACCCCAGGCTGATATTCCTATTGTCATGTCTGTCCCCCAGGATCCATGCACTTTTAGAAGGAGTGTAGTTACTCCCTGGCAGAGAGCTGCTATCCCTTGCTCAGGTGTGAGTCTGTCACCTCTTGGAGGGGTCTTAAGTAGTTCTTCTTGCTAGACTTGGAGTGAGCAAGCACTCTTTCTACCCCTTTCTCCTGATGTTTGTGGTGGGTGTGGGATTCCTACAGCACAGCTTGTTCCAAATCTTCCATACAATATCTACCCCTAAGTCTTCAGCCTTACAATCCTTTCATATCTTCTGTCTGGGTGAGTGGTCCAAGAGTTGTGTGATGATGGCTTCTCAGATTATTCCCTTTGGAATTTCCATCTAGTAACTGACTTTGGTGCTGATACCCTACCTAGGCCCCTCATTGGGAGCACCTACATTCCTCAGCACCCTTGATTCTTTTGCACTTCTTTTATATTTTTGTTAATGCAGTCATTTATTACACAAATATTTATTGAGCACAAACTATATGCCAAGTATTATTTTAGGTTATAGGGATGGAGGAATGAATGAAACAAAGTCCCTGTCTGTAGTAAGTTGAATAGAGTCCCCCAAAATTTATGTTTGCCCAGAACCTCAGAATGTGACCTTATTTGGAGGTATAGTCTGCAGATTTAACTAGTTAAGGATGTCAAGATGAAATCATCCTGAATTTAGGGTGTGCCCTGAATTCAATGGCTAGTGTCTTTATCAGAGAAAGGAGAAGGAGATATGGACGTACAGACCCAGCTAGAAGAACACCATGTGAAGATGGAGGCAGGGATTGGAGTCATGCTGCCACAAGCCAAGGAACGCCAGAAGTCACCAGAAGCTAAAGAGGCAAAGAAGGATTCTCCCTGTCGACCAAAAATAACCAAAAACCACTCTACAGATAAGAGAGATAAGGTGAGTTCTACTTGAACCAGAGTGAGGATTACAACCTGGGAAGGCCTTAGTGTTCCAGAGAAGGTTGGTTTTCAGTAGGGTTTTATACCTTTTTAGAGCAAAGAACTACATTAAACACACCCAGGATACATATTCATCAAAGTTTCAAAGAGGTATTCGGTTGCAAATTAGCAGGTCAAAATGACCCTGATGTGGGGCCCTGAGCTAACATCTGCCATTAATCCTCCTCTTTTTTGCTGAGGAAGACTGGCCCTGAGCTAACATCCGTGCCCATCTCCCTCTACTTTATATGTGGGATGCCTGCCACATGTTAGCTCAGGGCCAGTCTTCCTCAGCAAAAAGAGGAGGATTGGTGGCAGATGCTAGCTCAGGGCTAATCTCCCTCAAACTCCCAAGTGTTACCGATAGGGTGGTACCAATAGGTGTGGGAGG